GTGAATACGGCAGCGTGAGCTTTGAGGCTATAGACGGGTGCCAGGAGGCAGCTCGCGTATATTGAGACAAGAGCAATGCCGCACGAGTATAGAGTGGGAGTACTGTAGATGGCGCGGTCGTACTCGAGCAGAGTGTCCCGAAGTGTGGACTCATGGAGTCAAGTAGCAATACGGAGTGTACCAACGTTAGGTGTTCAGTGGAATTGGGAAAATTGAAAGTGGAGAAGGACCCTCCATGGTCCAGAGTCCGCACATGTCAACTGGTGCCGAAGGTCCTGGGAAGTGCCAACATGGCCGCCGCGCCACAGGCCGAGTACCCACTGGAGTACTCAAGTAAGGAGTCAACTGGTAAACCAGCCACATCGCTGGCTGCACAGCCAATTGACTGCTTATGTCAGGAGAACTCCAGCGGAGGTCAGTTGAGTAAAAACACTCTCGCTGCAAAATGCCAAAGAGGCATGTGCACTAGAATTTTCCTCTTTCAGGAAAACAATACAGATAGATCTCTATGCTATCCAGAGCATGAATTATATGTTACCAGTGTCCTAAATCCTTTATTGTCTGGCACGATTCTTCTTCTAGCACGAAGTGTTTCAGGGGCTGCGGCGCCGAGCGGATGTCGGATTTCGGGATCATGACATGCGCGTAGTTACAGACCTGGGTTGGTACTTAGGTAAGTACTTAGTAGTATCTAATAACCCAGCTCCAGGACGTACTCCGTACTTACCTAGGTACTTAAGTAAGCAGTCTGTTCTATTATAGAGCTAGGTACCTAGGTACCTAGTATTTATTTTAGTAGGGAGGCAATATATGAGCTAGCTGTATGTTCTGACCGGCACAAAAAAGGCTGGTTGAAGGAAAAGACAACATCTAGGGCGGGCATAGACGTGTGCGTCCGGTTATCTGTGCTATCCAAGACAGTCCGCTGTGCATCGTCCGTAATAAAACAAAACAAAAAAAATACCAGGTTCGTCCAACAATCTGCTCTATTGTGTGGATCATGAGATGGGTACCGACCTAGCTACCCAGGCGTGTATTCGGACCGGCCAGAAAACCGAACGTCTCAAGTGCTGCCGCCTTTATTCGGAGCAGTAACAGGTGCTGGACTACTCGTTTAGTAAATACCACCTAAGTACATACTTAGATGTAGTAGTCATGTAAGGTATTTGATTTCACCCAAGAAATAAGCATAAGATATGACGGCATCTTTATCCTGCCCTCCGATGGCACTGTGCTAGGGGTACTCCGTACTTAAGTAAGTACTACTTGCTGTCGACATCAGGCAAGACCTGGAGCACCTACATGCTAAGTAGGAAGTAACTAGGTACTTGTAGGTGGGCGGGTAGGTACTTGAGTAGGTGCCTCGGTGATTACGCTCGCCTTGGTACCGAGAACGTACCTGCACACTTCGTAAAGTATAGTATCTTTGATATCATGAATCGCTGCCCTGAGCAACTGGTCTGGCCCGTCAAGATTGAATTGACCAGACAGGCGTCAACTGGTGTCGGCATGACTTGAGCACCAAGCCCTTCACCCAACCCACTGCAGAAGGGGCCAGGGTGCCACCTCTTTGCCTCTCCCCTGTCCGGCTAGCCCAATCAAGCCGCCGTGCACCGGACCTGTCCATCTGCCTGAAATGCCGTGCCATGCCATCCGTTGACTTGTAGCAACCCGCCGTGCGCCGCCCATGGGCCTGCTTGGCTTCCTCCGAAAGCGGCTTAGGCCCCAAAGCTCCAGCAAGCGACGGAGCTCAACGCAAAATTCTGGATGGCCTGCTCCAACCATGAACCCCAAGCATTTCTCCGTCACCTTTCAGAGACGCTCCCCGTCAACAATTCGCGCGCTGCCGCAACTCTCCCACCCTCGGGCCTCTCAAGCCTTTGCCTCTTTTCCAATTCGGCCTCAATCCGCTTCAATCCGACTCTCTTATCTCCCTTCCACCTTCTAGGCCCGAGAGACCGCTCATCCGGTGCTTCCCAGCCTCGCCCCATAGACTCTAAACTCCAAGCAACAAGCAGAGCTATTTTTCTTCCCAAGATGCTCAGCGCCGCCATTCGGAGGCGAATCCTCGCCCCAACTCACAATGCTCTCCGCACCGGCTTCGCCTCTCATATTGTGAGATACTATGCCTCTTTTCCGGACCACCAGGTTGTCAAGATGCCTGCTCTCTCCCCGACTATGCAGGCCGGCAATATTGGTTCTTGGCAGAAGAAGGCTGGCGATTCCGTTGCCCCTGGTGATGTCCTGGTAGAGATTGAGACCGATAAGGCCCAGATGGACTTTGAATTCCAGGAGGAGGGTGTAATTGCCAAGATTCTGAAAGAATCCGGCGAGAAGGACGTCGCGGTCGGCAGCGTAAGTGTCTTGGTTAATGCGAGCACAAAGATGCAACTCTTGGGTTCTTTTCTCCCCCTGTACACGTTGAGTGCTAATGTATGCTACGGATTTAGCCCATTGCCATTCTTGTTGAGGAGGGAACCGATATCTCAGCCTTCGAGAAGTTCACCCTGGAGGATGCCGGTGGTAATGCGCAGCCAGCTCAGCCCAAGCAGGAAGAAAAGTCCGAATCGCAACCCGCTCCGTCGTCAGCCCCTGCGACCTCTGCCGAGCCAGAGCAATACTCATCCGAGGGCAAGCTTGAGACTGCCCTTGACCGTGAGCCCAACGTTGCCCCTGCCGCTAAGCGACTTGCGCGTGAAAATGGTATCGGCCTGGATGGCGTCAAGGGGACTGGAAAGGGCGGGAAGATTACAGAGGAGGATGTAAAGAAGGCTATCAGCAGTCCCGCTGTAGCATCTCCTGCCGCCACATTCGAGGATATTCCTCTGAGTAACATGCGCAAGACCATCGCCAGCCGCCTTCAGGAGTCAGTCCAGAAGAACCCACACTTCTTTGTGACCAGCTCGCTCTCCGTCACCAAACTGCTGAAACTCCGACAGGCATTGAACAGCTCTTCTGAGGGCAAGTACAAGCTCTCTGTCAACGACTTCCTCATCAAGGCTATTGCCGCGGCTAGCAAAAAGGTTCCTGCTGTCAACTCCAGCTGGCGAGAGGGCTCCATTCGCCAGTTCAACACCGTTGACGTGTCCGTTGCTGTTTCCACCCCGACGGGCTTGATCACCCCCATTGTCACTGGTGTAGATGCCCGTGGCCTCGAGTCCATTTCTGGAAAGGTCAAGGAGCTGGCTAAGAAAGCTCGCGACAACAAGCTCAAGCCTGAGGAGTACCAGGGCGGTACCATCTCCATCTCCAACATGGGAATGAACGCTGCTGTCGACCACTTTACTGCTGTCATCAATCCCCCTCAAGCTGCTATTCTCGCCGTTGGTACCACCAAGAAGGTTGCCGTGCCCGTGGAGAACGATGATGGCACCACCGGTGTCGAGTGGGATGACCAGATCACCGTCACTGCCAGCTTCGACCACAAGGTCGTTGATGGCGCCGTCGGTGCTGAGTGGATCCGTGAGTTCAAAAAGGTCATTGAGAACCCTCTTGAGCTGCTTCTGTGAGCAGCTAGGCAACAAATGTCAAGCGGAGCGATGAAGCGAACATAGCCGGAGAGTTCGTGGGAAAGCATGCCTTATAGAGTTAGCGAGGATCCAGAATGACAATGGATCGAAGAGAGGTAAAGCATTGGTGAAAATGTAACCATCCTTTGCCCGTGTCAAAAGGACGATGGCAAGACTCCATGCCCGTGTACAATGACCCTTGATTAATACTGTATTTCAGGTAGGGAGACTATTTCCAGCTTGTACATTGGCTCATTATTCTCTCTCTCCTGTGCTGCAGGAAATCTATCTTATTTTAAATGTATTTTGATCGGTTCGGTTGCGAAATCATGCCGCTGTCAATGGCAAATACTTTTTCCTACTTGCGTGCCAACAACACGGTTGCTTTGGTTATGATGTAATATCTGGGCGCCAATAAACCTTTGCCAGGTCTCCAGCCGCCGCGGTGAGGTACGGACAGAAGGCTGCGGCACAGCACAATGATCCTAGGCGACAGACAACGAAAAACTGGTGTTAGTCTTGATGAACGTAAAAACGTCCAGACTACGACGGCGGCAGCCCACCCATACGATGCAGAGGTGAATACAAATTTGCCTCCAAGATATATATACATTTGACTCCCTCTGGAGTCTAGTCGTCTCTTCCCCCCCTACCCCCAGTGCCATTATTTCAACCCGCAGTAGCCCGTACTTCCCACCTCTACAGGCCATGAACACAGCACCGAACCAAGCCAGGGCAACACCGGACTGAGGCGGCTCATCCCCAGGACGACGGAAAGGGGCATGATTATTGATATACATATGAAAATGCCCTTGTTTCCTGGCGCCGATCCGCCGTGGGATTACGGCGACGGCGCCGCCCGAAAGTGATGCAAAAATCGAACACGACGGTGAGCGTGGATGTCCGGACGACGCTGTCGGGACACAACGGCTCCAAGTGATGATGCAAAGTTTATCTTTCTTTCTTCAAGTTCGATACTATTAAAAAGTTGGAATAATCATGTTTCAGAAGAATGCCGCCGTGCCACAGAATTCTCAGTTCACTGTTGGTGTGTGTTTCTATGCTAGCACAGGCTGGCCACAGCCATCCCGCGACCGCTACCTTTAGAAGAGGGCAATGGCAGCATTGAAACTATCTAGCGATTCCAGACAGCTCGGCATGGAGTTCTGGTGACGTATCCATCCAGCCGTGAATCCAAGAACAAAGTCAACAGCATTGGTGTAAGTGCGGCTTCGGTGAATTCCCCCCTAACCAGCCAATGAGCGCTTCGGAAAGCTCGGGCATTTCGTCATCTCAGCCCGTGTCTCTCTCGCTCTTACACAACGGGTTACGTATGTCGCAGCGTCAGCTTCAGATGTGAAATTTCCTATTTGACGTCGGTTTACTCCTTGCTACCCTTCTGTATTCACCGAACGCAGGGACTCAATACCCCGAGGTTGGATTCCTCGCAGACTCACCGAATCAGATTGGCAGACTTGTGCCACCCAGGAAATGTCGAGCCAAGATCAAGCATCCTCCTCCAACGACGGAGATACTGGTGCGCGGGGTGCACCGGCCGACATTCCTGAAAAGAAACGGAGACGTCCTCCGCTTGCCTGTGAGCAGTGCAGAAGGCGAAAGATAAAGTGCGACAGGAATTCACCGTGTGGACACTGTACCCGGGCAAGAATTCCCAACTGCACGTACGCTCCCATCTACATCCCAGAGTCCAAGGCGGGGAGGAAAACATCCTCTAAGCTGCCGAGTACCAGGGCTGGTGGTGCAGCACAGAGGCCGGTGCTGCCAGCTCCATCTCCAGACGCAAAACCCACGACAGGAGAAGGGCGCGAAGTTGTAACCGAGTCTCTTGGCCCGTCCAAGGCCTCATCCAGCGGTCCGAGTTCCAATGTCGGCTCAGCTTCTGACTCGTCCAACGTCGATTGGTTGATTGCCAGAGTCCATGAACTCGAAGACAAGCTTGCCAATGTCGTTCACATCACCGAGCCCAGGGGCAATTCCTTCGTCTCAGGAAAAGAGGACTCGGTGGCTCCCCTTGCTGGAGTCATCTCCAAAACAAGATACTTCGGAAACAGCCACTGGATAACTGTTACTGATTTGGTATGCCTGCCTTTCTTCTTCTTACTTCTTGGTCACTGTAGATACTTCTGGCTAACGTCGAATGAACAGCTCCCAACAGAATTCGCCATACTCGGGCGTGCTGAAGCAGACAAGGCTGATGTATACCACACGCTAGTTAAATGCAAAACCCTAGGTCGCAAAATTAAGAAGAATCGCCAGCGGCCTCTGTCTTCTGAGAAACTTGGGGATACAATTCCGCTGAAAGAACTCGCCGATCAACTGATAGAGAATTACCTGCGCACTTTTGAAGGTGTCTTGCGCATTCTTCATGTGCCAACCTTCCGCCTCGAATATGAGAAATATTGGCAGAACCCTGGTGCCGCCAATATGTGTTTCGTGATGCAAATGCAACTCTGTTTGGCTCTCGGTGCCACTATATACGATGAAATATTTTCCATGAGGGCCATGGCGATGCATTGGGTCTACGAGGCCCAGCTATGGCTGATGCTCCCGGCGGAGAAGAGCAAAATGACGATTCCCGGTATACAAAACCTATGTCTCTTAGTACTGGCCAAGTCCTGCTGTGGCGTCGGCCAGGACCTCACTTGGATAACGATGGGCAGTCTTGTAAGAATGGCCATGTACATGGGTCTTCATCGAGACCCAAAACATCTGGGGAAGATGACTGTTTACAGAGCCGAGATTCGCCGGCGCCTATGGGCCACGGTTTTGGAGCTGAACTTGCAGTGTGCGTTCGAGGCTGGCGGTTCTCCGTTGCTTCATACCACAGACTATGATACTGAACCCCCTGCCAACTTTAACGATGACCAGCTGGTCGATGAAAACGATGGCGAGATACCTGTAGGACCATCGTCTGACACACCGACCGAGACATCTGTCCAGCTTGCCATCCTCAAGTCGCTCCCGCTGCGGCTCAATCTTCTCAGGCTTGTCAACGACTTTCGCGCATCACGCCCATATGATGAAATACTGCGATTAAACTCGGAGCTGACAAAGGCCTGCCGAGAGCTGTCACACAAGCTATCCTGTCTGCAGACGAAAGATGCCGGCTCAAGAGGTTCGACAATCAACTACTTCCACGTCTCGGTGGCGGAACTCTTCCTGTATCGGTTTTTCCACGCGCTTCATCTAACCGCCATCGCAAAGTCCTTCAACGATCATAGATTTTATTTTTCCCGAAGAATGTGCCTGGACAGCGCACTCAAACTTCTCAGCCTCTGGGGTTTGTCGGGCAAGCCGTTGAACACACAGGCCGAGGGTCAAATGGACTTTGTGCGAATCGTGGACAATGCCTCTGGGCTTTTCCGTTACATCAATGTGCAGTCGTTATTCTTCGTCGCTGTAGAGCTCATTCATCAGAAACAGGGCCATTCGGTCAGCCTCGGGTATATTCCTTCCATTGGCGACTCCGACCTGCGAGCCTGTTTGGAGTCTGCAAAGTCCTGGTCTTTGGAGCGGGTTCGGGCGGGGGAGACCAACGGCAAGGGCCACTGCTTTCTAGCAGCGTGCCTGGGCCATATTGATGCTCTCACCTCAGGCCTGTCTCAGGAAGAGGTGGACACGGCGATTCTGCGAGGGGCGACGGAATCAGCAAACAGCTGCTTGGTAGCTCTCACCGAGGTGGCCAAGAGAGAGGGAGTGCCGTCCGAGGAGTCGACGCCCGAACCGACGGACATGGATGGCGTCACCAACATGCCACTCGAGTGGATGGGTGATTGGGCGTGGGATGACATGAGCGGCATATCATGGGAACCATGGTCCCAGAACACGTTCGGCGGCGGGATGGAGCAGAGTCTTCCTGGGCACTTTTAGCTTTAACGAGTGCAGTTAATTGCCAGGGACGAGCTACCTCAGGTATATTGAACAACGGAAGAATGGGGATGGCGGCGCAATTGGCAGGCGATGCTCCGCTTGCCACCCGCGCCTTGTATTATTGTCACGACCAGTACTACTAGGAGTAGTAGTAGTATTATATAGAAGTATTCCCTGCATTTGCAGGTGAAGGAGTTTTGCTGTCAAGTTTCAGCCATGGGCAGGGCAAAAAGGGCTCTCAACGCAACTCACTGTAGCAACAATACAACATTTCACTGCTATAATAGAAGCGCTTGACATCGGCTATCAGAATGTTGTTTACCAATCTGGCGTCTTGCATATGGCACAGGTTACCATTGCATCGGCATTGCATTGCCGCCTGTTCCGGCCCATCTTTTCGTTCCTGTCGCTGCCGCATCCCCTGCATGGAGGGCAAAAGGGTCGTCGATCAATATACGAAGCTAGACAAATTGGTACGAGTCCGCGGTTTCCTCAGAACGCACAAACTGATAGTGCGTGTCGTGCCTTCCCAGATGCAAAATAATACCAGTTCCTTGTTGTCGTGAACGACGGACCGTATGCAAGGAACACGGTTTGATTCCCACCAGACCAGACCTGATAGAATTCGAGAAACGCAGGCCGTCCAGACTAGGCCGGCCCTCTCCAGAGCATTCTTTTGGCCCCGCGGCCCAACAGGATATAGACAAGACACTCTGCAATATAGCAACAAGCGCACTCCGCGCTCTGCCCACAATGACCCGCATCACCACAGTCGTCCTGGCCATATTGGCTCTTACCACCGACGCTCGCCGGCCTACCGCGGCGAAAAAGGGATGCACATTTCTTACGACGACGACATTTCTTCGCCAGACAACATCGCCGCACTGGCCCCAGTGCTCGTTTGACGGCACGGAGCGCATCTACAGCTCCACAGTCACTATGAATACAACCGTCGACTGCCACGGATGCTCTCACATCCGGGTTATCTCTAAGCCCAATGTGCGCTGTCCTGCGAAAATCTAGGGGATCAAGACGGAAAGCACACCTTATACGGTTCACAGGACGATTTGCGCTGAACCCACAACACACTAGGTCATGTCAAGCCTAAAGGGATCATAGGAGGCACGGGGAAGGGGAAGGCGATGGACAAGTATCTGCAATCACGCCGTGATTTCACGACGGTATAGACTAAGCGAGCCATGGCCACAAGGGGGTAGAAGATGGACTCGAAGAAACAGGGTATAATCAGGTGTATTCCTATGGTTTATGAAAAAGGATGCGTTTGCTCCTCCATTTTGTTCCCTCCATTTTCCCTCTTCGTTTATATAAATAAAAAAGGGAGAGAAGTTTAATTTATTTGGCATTTCATGCCTATTCCCACGTCCTCTCGTCCTTGAAAACGCCGCCTCTCACCGAAATGTGCCATCTATGCGTTCTGAACCTGGACCTGACCATCCGGCATACCAAAGTAGGCGGCCACGGGTTTTTGTGCCTGCAATTCCTTGCCGAGCCCAGCGGCCTGGTTGCCGTTGAAGCCGTGGAAGAGGCCAATCTCGACGATACCGGGGATCTTGAGCAGTTCGTCGGCCAGCGTCTGAATCTCCCAGGAGCCATTTCCCCCCTTTCCATTCTCCGTAGAAGACAGATCCTTGGGGAGCAACAAGGGCGAGAAGGGCGCGTCGATGATCCACATGCCATTGTCTGTGACACACTCGCCAGCCTTGCTGGGAAGGCCTGACCGGACCGCAGGGTTAGGGGAGCCCATGGCGCGCAGGCGGGTGAGAACATCGGGCGCGGCAAGTGGAAGAACCTCGAGGGGGATAGTCTTCCACTTGGTGCAAAGCCGTGGTGACTGCTTTCGAGAGTCTGACAGATACGGTAAGAAATTTGGAAGGAAACGGAGGGGTAGTAAGGTGTCGTGGATCAGGTTGCACTCACCAGCAACAGCTACAAACTTCTTGGCAGCAGTGGCAACGAGCTTCTCCTGGAACAGGCATGCGCCGCCTCCCTTGATCAAGTTCAGATCTTCGTCGACTTCGTCTGCGCCGTCAAAGGCGACGTCCAGAGCCACGGGGGCGCCATTGACGAGAGGCCGCTCATCGACGTAGCACAGCTTCAGGCCGGCCTTCTTGATCAGACCCTTTGACTGGCTGCCGGTAGGCACAAAGGTCATACCAGAGTAGAATGCCGGGCCCTTGCTCACGATGGCATCGACCACGTAGACGACGGTGCTGCCGGAGCCGATGCCGACGAACTTGTACGTGGGGAGGAGGTGGTCCTCGACGGCGCGGTAGGCGGCGAGCTTCTTGGAAGACTCGACAAGATCGGCGGTTGAAGACATGACTGCTCTTGTGGCATGAAAGGAAGGGATTGCCAGTTATAGGTTGCGGCAGAGAAGCTGGCGGGGAGAAGGCGATTGAAGCTCGAGCTTGACGTGATGGCGGGGCACGAGGACTCGAGGAGACTCGGTCAGGTTTGTCAGGGTCTTGTCAGCAAAGCTCGTCTTGGTCGTCGATGCTCTTCTACGCCAGGCTATGACTGATGCGGCTACTGCGGTATGTGCAATCAATTGGCGAAACTGCGTCCCTGGCGAAGCAGAAAATGTGCAGAGACTAGATGTTGCCATGCGTTCCATCAGGCGCAGTCGCATCGAGGCGCTCGACGTGGTGAGCAAGCCAGTGGTTTTGCATGTGGAGACGGCATCGTCACTTGTGGGCATTGATTCGGTCGAAGCTCTCGAGGCATTGGTTTTGTAAAGTCGGCCACATAACTAAAGCTCAGTTGCGTCCTCGCTACGGCAGTGTCTGAGGGTCTGATTAAGAAGCGTTTTGTCTCTTCGCGCTCGGCCGCCGCCAATTTGTTACATGGCACCACGGTGAGAGGTTGCCCATTGATTGTCTGACGACGTCACTCGCAGCCCAGATTCCCCACCAGCCAGCCGCTCCATCGGAGTCTGCATTTGTGCATTTGTGCATTTGTGCATTTGTGCATTTGTGCATTTGTGCATCCAGTGCACATTTCACATGCGCGCGGCCAACTCTCATGCCAAAAACCAACCACAGCCAACAGGCACGCAGCTTGTCCATGTTAAGACGGGAATTTTTTACCTGGTCAATGATTGTATTATCCTCCATCCAGAATACCGACTATGACGAACCAATGGATCCCTTGTTTGTCACAAAAGGTGTGCAAGAAAAAAAGCCTACTCTTATGCACCACCGCTTTGTTCCTACATACATGATACAACTACACCAGACAACCCTATGATATGCAGCTTCATCCCAATTCGGATCTGACATCTCTCCCGACTTCCGGTGGCCCCATTGCTTCGTCGCCCTGCTGCATCGCCGCATCTGTCTGGCATCCTACGGAGTACATAACTACTACATATGTAGCTATGTATGTACAATATTATTTCGCCCTGTCTCACGCGCGGATACGGCAGCCGCAGCGGAGCATCTTGGTCCGAGATGAGCTGACGGCATGACAGGATAACTTCAGTAGCCGAGAAGAAAAGCCTAGTAAGCTTCCGCCCGGTCTTATAGTTGCGAATAAGGTTGGCCATGGTCGAGAAAAAAAATGCCCCCTTGGCGCTACGTGGGCACATGCGTGCCGTCTTCCGTTCTGGCTGCAGATTTCGCCTCTCACGATGCCGTTCTAGGTTTCCTAGGCACCAACTTTGCCCGTTTAGACTCCAGTGCTAGCTCCCGTGGCGAGACTGGCTGCATGTACTGCTGCAGCCAAATCTAGAGTCGTCTTCGTCTTGCGCCCAAGTCCATTGCAGTCCGCGCAAAGCCGAAACACCTAGCTTTGAGCTATAATGCACATCCAAGGCTTTCTCCCGATGGTTTCCACCTAAGACAGACCTACCTCTCTTCCTCTCCCTCTCTTCCTCTGCTGCAAAATTCTATATAAACGCCAGCAGCTCGCCCCCATCAAGTCTGGCAAACAGTCCTTTCTTCACTCTCCAGATTCACTATACATCTTCAGCACTATATATCTTCATATACATTTACATCACATCATCTCCCTCTTCGCAAAAGAAACAGCCGATATGCGCACTCCCCAGCTTCTTGCACTGGCCGTGGCATTGGCCACTTCCACCATGGCCAACCCAGTTCCTGAGATGGGCAACGATCCCGCAGCCCGAGGCGCCCTGAACAACCCAGATGCCCCTGATGAACCTGGGTGCACCAAAACCATATTCGTGGCTCCTCAAATGACAGCCGGCCCTGTTGAAACCGTTTGGACCTCTACTGCCACTTCCACACAGAGTGTTGACTGTGGCGGCTGCAACGAAGTCCAGGCATCTACCATGTTTTGGGGAGTAGGTCCCGTCGTCTCCTTCAGCACGACCACCACCGCGGAAACAGCAAGCACCACTACCGTGTACGCGTGCTCAACGTCCGCTGCAGGTCAATAAAACGTCATCACCAAGGAGCCGGAAGCCACTACCGCCCCATAAGCTATTGAAGCTTTACCGGAACGAAGGAGTGAATTGGTGGCGGTGGATGGCATGGTATAACTTGGTCGGTGGTATTGTTACCAAAAACAAAAGTCCAAGGAGCACACATTCATAGTTTTATCCAACAGACTATGTATTGAATAAATTTTTTTATGTTTTTTTAAACCTTTGCTTTACATACCCGTTCCGCCGCAACAAGTGACCAAGCCTTTAGCAATGGTACACACGCCCAGCATTTCTTCTTTTCTTCCCCCTTTTACATGCCCTCGCCATCATGGCCACGAGGCGACGAACTCTTTGCCAGCAAATTCCTCGTAACGTCCAATCGCCAAATCGAAGGCCCGTAGTCGTCATCCCCCCGTCGATGCGTTTCAACCATGGTCTTGATATTGCCCTTTATCTCCTTGTTCGACGTCAGCGTGACATTGCCACTGGCCCATCCATACATGAAGATGGAGAGCTTGCTGCTCTTGAAGCCGCTGTGGCGAGCGACGTCAATGGCCATCGCCGGGAGCCGCGAGCTGCTAGCTGCTTGCTCGATTTCAGGCCAAGTCCAGCGTTCATCGACAACTTTTATGGGGATCTGGACTGTACTTGGCAGAGCGTGTGCCGAAAGCTCCTCGAACCGCGACCGAAGAGCAGCCTCTGACTGGTCTCTATAAAATTGGGCAAATGGGACGAGAAGGTTTCCCCTTTCTTTCTCCGAGCTTGTCCCCACGGTGGCGAGGACGTCGTGAAAATGCTCGGCCGCTTCTCTCGTACAAACTAGCGTCCTGTTCTCAATAATTGGGTACAGTGCTTTCACCATGGCGCCATCATGTTCCATCTCTTCTTCTATCTGCGCTCTTGTTGTTTCCTCTTGCCACGGTTTAGGTTCCAGGCGGAAATGTGTAATGTCCGAAATCAAATCAATCAGAATCGTGTGGTCCATGTTCAACGTATCTGTGAGCCCGCCAAACTCATGGCCCAGTAAATTTCTGATGGCAACATCAAGTTCAGGGGGTGGTGTTTTTAAGAATTCGCCGTCTCGGCCCTCGACGATAATTTCAACTCCGGGGTCGACCCGACCAAGTTGTTCAAGAAGCACATTGATGTCGTTGTTCTCTTTGCCAATATTGGGCATGACTATCCTGAGTCGTGGGATCCGGTACTCGTGGCGGTTTATTCTCGCCGCCGCGACGAGTCGCTTGACTTGTTTCGCGAGCATGACGTCCTCCCATTCCTGCTCGTCGACGGCATCCCCAACATTGTGCTCACCCCATCCCCATCCGCTATCTGTCATTTGTCTCGCCAGTCGGTCTGGCTGAAGTGTGTGAACGACAAGCCACTCCGCACCGCCTTGGACAACATGTGCCTCAACTTTGGCCTGTGCCTTGATGGTCCGATGTGCTGCTTCTTTCTCGCGCCCAGTCAAACACATTTTTTCCACTTCTCTTTTCCGCATGTCCCTGTCAGATCCCTGAAAAGCTTGGTTGATGGAAACAAGGGAGCGGCATCTTTTCAGCACGCTCCAGTGTAGTGAACCATGGGAAATGTTGACAGCGCAGATTTCCAGCTTTCTCCCGAGCTGTCGAAGCGCGTCGTCTGGAAGCTGGGAATGCAGCGAGTCTTGAACCATGTCTTCCAGAGTTGCTTGGTTCTTTCTCAACTGGCGCAAAAATGTGGGCAATCCTGAAGATGACGGCCTTTTGGAACGGGCGTTGAGCGTCTTGCCGAACTCTTCGATTTCGGGGATGTAGCCATGAGACGCTGACAAGGTCGCCGTTGCCACCCCGAGCAGACGGCTTTTCAGCTCTGTACTAGCATTGCTGGCATTTTCGACGCTCTGGATTCCATCGCGGGACGCCAATCTTTCTTTGCTATTAGCTGTCATGGCTTGGTTCCGTGGTTGACTTTCCGATTTCGTCTTCGGGCCGAGGTTCTTTGCGACGGTGCACAAAGAAAATACCACATTTCGAGCTATTTTCTCTCTCTTTTGAGTAATGGCTGCACCTTGGCGTCTAATGCTGCTCCTGTCCCCGTCACTGGTGCTCTTCAATCAGCTTCGCAAGACTGACTTTGGCGAGTTTGATGCCAGCCATCCGTCATTTAGGGTTGTGAAAGGTTGTCTGGTCGTCGCGACTGGACGCAGTCGACCCACATTTTCTGTGCTCCAATCCCGCTCAACCCATGTAAAACTACATATTGACTCGATCTAAAACCTCTTGTTCTGCCCAACACTAGCTAGCCATCTACCACCGTAGCCACGAGACAACATGGTCTGAATGCAATTTCAAGCCACCAAAATGTTGCCCTCGCATCACATTCGAGACTGACATACGGGGGGCCAACCACAAGCGGTGCTATGCCTGCGAATAGTTTCGATGCGCATGGTTGAGCTGGAGTTGGGCTGCTGTTTCAATGCCTGAGCGTATCGTCCCCATGTCAACGTTTGGTCTTGGTCAGGACTTCGGCCAAATGTCAAAATAGTACAGGCAGCAGCTGATGAAAAATAGACTGGCAATTCTCAGCTCTGCTACCCGGGCCTGAAATGGAGAGGCCTTCATTATTCTCGGGATTCAGCCAAAAATATTTTGAGACATGTGTCCTTGGACAACAATGCTCTACTACACTTCAGCTGGCAGAAGTAGTCGGTCTTTTCGCTGGCGTCGTGACCCTCGGTGAGCTTACAACATCCAGAGTCAACTGGATGAACTTGAAGCTCTGAATATCCTCATCACCGAGGTTGAAGCTGAAGCCGCAGCTGAACAAGATGCGTTGCGAGACACGCCAGCCGGGGCCTTGAGTCTGCGATACTGCAAGAAGGCCGCCAAGGAGCTGGAAGATGTCATCCAAAATCCTCAGAGAAATATCAAGTGGCCTGTAAGGCTGCCAAGGACGGCAGCAAAATTTGGGGCTGTTTTGAGCCAGAAAACAATATTGGATGCTCAGAGGCAGCTATCCAAGGCGTTTCAAATGCTTCAATTTGCTGTGACAGTACGTATGTGGTTCGTAAAGTCGCCGAACCATGCATGGCTTCTGGTTGAAAAGTCGCTGCAAAAGGAAAAAAAGCTGACAGCTCTGTTCGTTCTCCTACATATAGGTCTCAGTCCAAACGCCTACCAGAACGTACGGCCTCAGCCTTTCCCGCCAAAAAGCATGAAATCAACACTGCCAAAGTCAAGCATACTCCAACACCGACGAAGATTGCATCCGCCAGCGTTGAATTAGTGTCGCCGCAGCAGGCCACCCTGCGGTGGTTGTCGGGCTCTGTTTTCGGAGGCATTGCCGGTGCCCAATGTTCCCAGGTCGTCCAGGAGGGTCGCGATGACGGCGAAGAAGTGCGAAGTAAAGGAACCCAGGGCCAGCATGGATATGGAAAAACCTCGATCTTACTTGCTTCACTAGCTACACAAGCTCGCATCTGATTCCCGTCATGGGTCGCACAAGCTGCCTGGGACATTTTGTCATATAGGTCATCACGGAGCTTCACATGGAAGCTCACAAGCTGGAATGTTGTCCCCGGTGATAGCCCGATCTTGGAAGCCGTGAAAAGAGGTCCGTTTACTGATGTCATGGCGCTCATCTCGTCTGGCGATGCGTCCTTGTACGACCGAGATGACAACGGCAAGACGCTGCTTCATGCAAGTTGGAGAAGACGGAAACACAACCGCACCCCGGTACTCAATTAACATGTTTGCAGTATGCAGTGTATTGCCGCAAGTTTGACACGGCTATAAATGTCATAAAAACGGGCCATCCAGTCGTGGAAACAGACAATCTCGGGTTGTTTCCGTGCACAGCGCCATCTGCGTCCCCGCAAGCAGACGCAACCAAATCTCTCGAGCTCCTTTCCGTGGTGATCAGTAGCGGAGACTTTAGTAATTTACTTGAAGGCTTGATTGACGACTCCGCCACAGTCGCATTCTTCAAGCCAAGCCAGTTTGATCGGCTAATCTGGGTTGTCCCTGGGTTCTTGGAGCTGATTGATAATGACTTGTCTTGGAATTTCAGTCAGCTGCCGCTGTCATCTAAATCCAGGACGTTTGGCTGGTCCATGGTTCGTGCAGACACCCTGGATGCCATTCTTTCCCGTTACTCTATAACGTTGCAAGACGCAAGGCAGATGTTGGACTATTCGGTTGGCCACTCGTTGCACGAGTTCGCCGCACAGTACCTCGTCCAGCCCAACTTCCGAAAAACTTTGCCAGGTTCATGGCGGTATGCTTGGGTATATGACGGCGAGACTAACGGCAACATAGCAGTCAAGAACGCCCAGCTCTGGAAGGGTTACGGGTTCGGCCTGGTCTCAGCCATGGTGTTTGACTACCTTGTGAAGGAGTGAGAGTTTAACATTCTTGGACGCATGACTCCCCTATTATACGCTACAATGAAGACAATGAGTCGGTTGGCCTTGCGTCCCGATGCAGGTCCCCAGCCAAGATGGGAGGAGGAAGTACACGACAATGTGAGAAGTCTTCTAGACGATGTATCAAGGAGTGGGGTCAGGCTTGAGGAATATGGACGCGTGGAATTCTCGCTATTTATGAACAACGACTTTGCCCGCACAAGGAGGTGCCGAAATATCATGGGTTACAACCATGAAGTGGTAGGGGGCCCGTGTCTAGCTCCATTACAGTATGGGCCGAGGCCGAAAGACTGGAGGTTTGTTTGGGACAATCTAGTGGAAGAGTAAATGTTGGAGAGCCAGCCGTTAAACATGCCAGGCGCGTGGGTAGACTAGCGTACACATGTCCAGATAGATATTGTCCCAAATACCTCTCTCATGGTTCTCTCTACCTTGGCCCTGACTAGAACTAGCTGGAGGGTCGGTGGCTGCGCATGTGTGGATGCAAGACTCGCCTAGAGGTCAACTGGGTGCTTCTCAACCCTTATTCCACCACAGTTTTGGGTACATTGTGCGGGCATCAAAATCAATCTCAAGATCAGGCTCAAGCTCACGCTCACGCCACGCAACAACGAAAACCACTTTAGGAACCACCAACGTCCAGTAGCCTACAAAACGTTGCGCAGTGGCACCGCTGTACCTGTTAAAAAAAGTCAGGTCGAATTCACGCAGCCACATCCGCGGGGCCGCTATCAATCGGTGTCTCATACTCATACCGTGCGTGAGGCCTGGTTCTAGAAGTCTTGGTATTGTCTGGTTTACCTCGCACTTGGATCCACGCCAAGCAGCCATCCATCATTAAACATCTTCACATGCGCCAGAGCGCAAGGCAGGAGGGAAAAAAATTTTTCTCTTAAAAAAAACCCTCAACCCGAGTTTTTGCGAGACGCCCGACGATTCCGCTCCTGCATGTCAATGGATCTTTGTTTGTTGGCGAGCTTGAAGTTTTTCGCAAGAATCCCTGCTGCAGGTTTTCCCCATATGATCAGGCGCCACGCAACATTCGATTGAGTGATTGGACAAACCACCGACGTGAATGTAAAGTTATAGTTGGCATCTCTACCTGCTCTCTCCTTGAAAGGTCAATGGTGGTCGAACGACTCTGCCAAAAGGGGAGGACTCCTGCAAGAGGAAGTCTTGTTTCTGGTTGGTCTTCTTCATTTCCTTTACAACAAAAGGTCACTATCAGTTGTTGGCCGGCCACCAATATAAAACCCTAACCCTAGCTATTATTAACAGTGATTATTATTCGACAACATAAATTCAATGTTTGTTTCAGAAGTCTGGCCTGGTGGGGAAGGGCGGATCATCACCCACTATGATTTGCTCCACAGCGGCCTTTCAAAGGGAGAGGGGGCTGAGTAGCTAACGTCGACGCCAAAATACACCCCAGTGCCACTAGAAGCCCACTGAAGGAGGGCCAAGTGCTCATTGGGCCCACGAATTGACAACACTTACGGAGTAGCGGCTCGTCCACTTAGCCGCTGACAGGTAAACTGGAAAAAATAGCCGTCGCCCCTTCCCAAGGGAGCGAAGCACTGGGAACCAGGCGCGCAAGAGCTGGACGCCACACGTTTTATAATCAACGGAGAACACCATGTGCCCTGTGCTGCTTCCATCGTTGTCGTCTGGAAAAGTGGCGCCGATTTGTTTTGGCACCCACACCCCCTGCCAACCCCCCAAGTTCCGCTGACGAGGAGTCCAGAGACAAAAGGGGGTATTTTCAGGAATGTACAGTCGTAGCCGTACGCCTGGGCTATAGCCGTTAAAGATCCTGTACCTTGGCGATGGTCGGGTTATTCCAATGGTCCACGGTCATCTAAGGCTTTCACCAAGTGAATCGGTAAATAGTCAGGTTACCCACGATAGTACAGGCATCAAGCTTAGCCACTATACGGAGTGCATTTTAATCTGGTGTCTTTATCGTCATTTGCCCCCCCATAACGCTGCCTACCTAGTAGTTTCGCAGCCTCCAACTCGAGGCATTTTTCTTCTTTCAACACCAGACAGACTACATGCACCATGATAATACCGCCAATTACAAGAGAAAATTAAATTCACCAAGCAATATGTAAAGCTGTGAGCGCCATCTAAAAGCTTGGGATGACTGCCTCGAGGCTCTTTTACCTATCGCACGCGGTGCGCGCATCGCCGCCCCTCATCAGCTAGCATTGAATTGAGCCGGCCCTTTTTGAGCCCATTGACAAGAGCCGCGATGACCTTTAACAGCTTCAACAACGCGGCATTAACATCGCATGATGCGGTCAAGAAAGAAAAAATCCTTATATGTACCTTGAGTATTTTGAGGTGTAATTTTCTAGTAAATTCGAACAAGGTACAAGCTCCATAATAGTCGCACCTTGACGATTGTTGCCGAATATTGATGAAAAGGATCTCGCGAAGCTACGTAGCGTATCGTATAGGCAAGGTTTACTGTAACAACGCCAAGCCTCTCCGCACGCCCGCCAAGTGTGTGGTTCCTCCTCACCCCACACAGATGGGCGACAAGTCGAGTTCAATGTAACCTGGCCCGGCCGTTGAGTGCAAGTCGCGCGAGTCGAATAGTGCGTCGTCTTTGGGCTTGAGAAAAAGTAATCGAGAGGGTTTAGGGGCAACGGCGGGCGCCGGCTTCTCCTAGTCCCATCGATTCCAAGTGACATCGGGAGCTGGCTAGAATGGCGCATGGCATGCAATTGCCCCGGTCGCAGGGCGACCACAAGTATTACAGCCTACTACGTATTTCAACTCGCTCGATAGAAACAGGCGTGACGGGGAAACCACAGCCCAGAATAGCCTCACACGCCGTCCAAATAGCGCGATGCAACATGGCACAATGCAGTGTATGCCACATTTCAAAAACTGGCCTGGCTCTTATTCTCTCTCACCATGAACCATGACAGTCGTCTGTCAGTTGCACAAGGACGCCTCACTTACAGGGCGGCAGGGAGGGGGACACACATGCCAAGAACTTTTGCAAGATATCAAACTCGACGATAACTATGGAACCATACATTCTTAAAATAATATGTATCAAAAGAGAATATGTAACACAGGAATAAGCAGCACAAGGGTCCAGAACCCGAGCACGCTTGTCAATGAAGCCTGGATGCAACTCCGATATAGGCAAAACATTCCAACCAAAGATTCACGCACGAGCAAACACCCAGAATATCAAACCTTTCCGTCATCTTGGATGCTTTCTCATGTCAAGGGTTCACTGCAAGTAGCCATTGACCTGCATTGTGGCCGTCGCCGATTGGTAATGAAGGACGCTTAACTGACAGTGACCTTGAAGTTGACGGGTCCAGGACTAACATTGAGACCAACTCCGTCCAGAGCGTTGGTGCCCTTGACATAGGCATTGTCTCCAACACCGCCCTCCTTAATAGTAGAACACTTATGACCCTCAGCACAAACACTGAGGGCAGGGATGGGGCGGTTGCTGTCGGCAGCAGTCAGGCAGGAGGCATCGGCACCAGACCAGGCACCGTTCTTTTCGCTGGCGTAGTCAAATTCGAACCAGGTGGCAGTGTAGAGTCCAATGTCGTTGGTAGGGACCTCGCCAACACCACAAGCTAAACCGCCCTGGCTGTTGGGCTCGGCCGCCAGAATCTTCTCACCACCGGCAGGGAGGTCGAAGGTCATGACCTGATTGCCCTTGAAAAAGCCGTTGATTCCGCCGTTCCTGCCAATCTTGAGCCAGACGGCGCACTTCTGGTCCTTGCCCGACTTGTTCTCGATTGTCGCAGTGTATTCATAGTCTTTGGCGTCGTCGACGAGCATCAGATTGCAGCCATAGTTATTGGGGGCACCAACATTGCCCTTGTAGGCAATATCAGCGATAGAAGCCCGCTTGGAAACTCCACCACAGAACTGCTTCTTGCCACCAGATCCAGAGCCGGTCGAGGGGGTAGATTTGGCGGCGCTGGTAGTAGCTGGAGGAGGCGGGGGAGGTGCAACGGTAGGTGAAGCTGGAGACGGGACGACGGCAGCCTTGTTGTTGACAGCAGCTCCGTCAGGCTTGGCATTCATGTAGAAGTCGATGCGCTTGTCAAGTTGGCGGTGAATATTCTTGTGCGCGAAGCCGCTGGGGTGGGCAGCGACGCCGAGGGCAGCAGCCACGGCGAGGGTTGTGGCAGAGAACTTCATTCTGTTGTTTTTTGTGTAAGAGGTCGTTGTAATATAAATGCAATGGTGAGTTCCGAGTCAATCGGTCTCGTTTTGACAGGCCCGGGTACTCGCAGAATATCGGGAAGCCTACGGAACCAAAGATGCCGGCAATGGTTTGTTGAGGGAATGTGCTAGTTCTCCGTGTAGGGGCGGGAATCCAGGAGAACAGAAGATGGAAGAGAGCGTGGGCCGACGTAGGCTGAGGCGCTGGTTGTTAAGGAATGACTTGAAAGGCAAAGGCAAGGAAGGGCTGGATGTGTTGTTGAAGGATGGTGTGAATAAGAGCAAGGGAAGCAGGGCAAGGAGACTTAAAAAGGAGAGTGGAAGGGTGCTGGCAAGGGGACGATGCGCCACGGAGAATTCCAAGGAACCAGACCAGACTTGAGGACGAGCCGTTGGGTTGCAGCTCAGATTGGTGAACATTGAAGGGGGAGGGGGGTGTTGGAACATAGGACTTTGCCGGTTACAGGCACTTGCTCAAAGGCTGTCTAGTCTAAACGGCCCAGGCGGGCACAGCACGGAGAGATCAGTAGTTGGATACATGTATGTATGTACGCAAGAGCACATTCTTTCTTGGCTTTGATCAAGGCTGGAGCAAGCATTGGATGCCCAGGACGGGGGTGTCTCTAGAGTCCATAACGGACCGGTGAGCCATGGCCTAATGCAGTATAGCGGCCTGTTGAAGTGAACCAGGCTCATTAGGCATGTTGGATTTCAGGTACGAGCCAGTCTTGATTGGCCGACTACCACTCGGACCTGGCCGTGCCCGTGCATTGTACTAGAACCTATTGGGCGGTTCTTGTACATACAAACTTGACTTCCAAGGTTCTAGTGGTAACGCGATGCGCGTAGTACTTTACGTACCTGCCTGAGTGAGGAAGGCAAGGGCCGAGATGCTGGAACTTGTGTGTCTAGGCCGCTAGGTACTCTCTGTACCTACTTACTTACGCAGCAACTACTAGACAGCAGGGCCAAAGGTACCGCCGGCCTTGGGATATCTACGTAGGTACTTCAGTACTTAACATGGAGTATGTACGTACATTTAACTCCCACCCTTCTCTCATTCTCGTCCAAGCACGCTAAACATGAGACTGCCAGCTCGGGCTACGTTTCCGCTCGTCCCATCTTTGTTTCCATAGCGAGCCGTGCTCTTCATGTTATACATCTGAAGCCAAAGTTGGGCAATAATAGCAAGTACCTAGGCACTTTGGGCGGTGTTGCCCGATAGATACAGCACAGAACTTGCTGCGTCAGCGGCAGTCCGGAAGCGAAGCGCAAAAACACCAGAACACCACAACGTCCAGCCGCAGCGCTACAGTGCCAAGGTGCAACACGGATTGAATACCACTCTGTAGCAACGTGTTTCGTCTCCATCGTACTGGGCGTTGCTGGTGCCCAGGGCCGAAATCTGACCCCATCCTACTACTACCAGATTGGCCGATGGACATGGAAACCCCAGCTACGCAAACTTATCCGTCGCCCGCCCTCCAGGTAGACAAGGCCAACAGAATGACACGCAAGCTGTGCTCTCCGCCGAAAATGGCGCAGCTACGGAGTAGTACTCCATACTAGGCAAGATCTTGACTGTCACATTTCACAAAGACATGCTGCTGCACACTTGGCCGCTGTTCCTCGAGTGGTCCACTCAAGTGCTGCATGCAAAGACCCAAGGCGTTCAGGGGAAGGTACTCACAGGTGCCGCATTGTGTCTGGTACGGAGTACCGAGTGCAAAGCAATCGACTCTTCTGCCGTTCCACGAAACAATGAATTTTTCTTCTCCTTCTTCTTCCTTGCCCTCTGTGTGGCGTCTCCATGGGCCTCCACGCGTCACCCGCCTGGTGGCGGAGAAGTAGACATGTGAATGGGGAAACTGGATGGATTGGTGCCACGACGCACTTGACGGCTTGCATGACCCCGAAGCCTCAATTGAGGCACCACGAGATACAACTGGCCGGCACGGGGTGTTCAAATGCTGGACCCTCCTCAGTGGCCTCCAGAGCAGCCGCGGAGCCTAATGGCGCTAAATTGATACATATGTAAGTTCCAGCATGAACCGTCAATCCAGCAACATTTGAACATTCACACCTTCAGAGTCTGGTTGCTGTGAGCGAGCGCCTTCTGTCCAAGTTTGTTTTGGCCAACTGTCCGCGTCTCAATGGACCTATGGAGAAGGCAACGAATGTCCCCTGTTTCGCATGATGGAGCACCCCGCAAATAGCACATATTACATGGTCTAGTCCATAATGCTGGAAAAAGAAGCAAGCTTTGATCGATCCAGATGTCGCTATCTCAAGGTCCACAGTTGACTTCGTTGAGCGTCTCCAGGGCGGGGCGCGTGTCGGGGAGAGACGGGGGACGGGCAAACCGCAACTGCCAACAAACACATGGCCTGTACTCTGTACACAGCCCAGGCAGCAGTGAACATTGGTTGAACTGATGATATACATATTATCGGTTGCACGTCTTTGTCTGTTTGTTGCCGTGTACCGAGCGCAATGCAGATCTCTGAGATCAATCACGGACTCTTTAATCGACGAGACAAGGGGAAGGAGCATGTGGCAGGGTGACACACGACGGGAGACCACAAACAGGCCCGGCCTGTCTTCGGCCGCCATGCGCTGGAATGAAAAACAACACAAGACTGCTTTGTACTTACTTAGATGCAAGTGTACTAGTACTACTGTAACTTTACGTGCTGTCAAGTACCTACTTTACCTACTTAAGTACCTAGGTAGGTAAGTACTCAAGTAGGTATGTACGGAGTACTCCGTACATTGTACATATTTAGAAGCCCACCCTGGAATGCCGGGCCGGGCGCTTACCACAACCATGACCAACGACCTGTCACCACAGCCAGCGTCCAACCAACCAGCAGCAGCACTGCCTCTTTCTTCATCTCGCTTTGCCTCCCTCACAAATTCACAATGGCGCCCGCCGCGTGCTTGACACGAGGGCCACGCAAGGGTCTCATACTCCCCCCCCTCGACATGGGTATATACGCGCATGTACGGAGTACAATGTGCATCTCGGCCAACAACAACGACGCCGCAGTGTTACTGACTCGCTACACTTGGTTCGTTTTCCTGCTTCTCCTTTGTTCAACCTCCCTCACGCCGCTACCATGCCCTTCAAGCCGCCGGATGCGGGAGAATTCAAGCCAGGAACATCATCATTATTCCTCCTCTGCTGTTTTTTCAGACACCTGGAGGCCTGGATAACTACGTCCTTGATTCCGCTCCATGGCACCACCACCTTCTCGTATTTACGGCGTGCATAATGGCCGAAAGCATGCTGTATCCGCATCTATTAGGAAAATCAAGGAACTGGGCCCACATGACAATCTCTGTATAATGCAATGCTATGCATGGTATTCGCAGTACGGAGTACGATGTATGGTATCAATACAACTACAGTGTACAGAGTGCTCTACTCCGTGCAGACGCGGTACTTCCCAGTCTGCCCACCCCAATCGTCTACGCAATGAAGCCGCCACCGAATCAGGGGCGTGCAAAGTTGGCCCATCTCCCTTGAACCAGACCGGACCCCTTGCCGAGGAGGCGAAGCCAGGTCTAGCTACTCCGTAAACAACTGTCATATACATAATGTACGGTCGTGGTTGCAAGCAGACACATGTTTCGTTTTGTTTGTGACTTGCCTTCGGTTGCTTGCTTGATTTGCATTGATTGTTTCACCACTAGGGACGGGGCATCAAAGAAAAGACAAAACCTGTCCACTAATATTGTCGTATCATTGAAAGAAAAACTACCAAGCCGAACGCTGTACAATAGCAAGTACTGATCATAAGGGTCGTTAATCTAGGCTACCGCCAATAACTTGTAACCCGAGCCTGAAGTCCTGATGCGCCCTCGCATCTCCTTAACAGTAGCTTCTCATTGCGTCTTCATAACCAGTTCCGCCGCGTAAGTCTCGCCCAAATTTCACATGAATGTCCAGAACTTGTTGCATGTGCCGCATGCTAAGTGATTCGTTCTTGTTCATTGCCAGGTCCTGCGCAGACCCTACCATGTTCTTGATCTCGCGCCCATTCAACTCGTACTTGGCAAGCTTTTTGAGATCTTCCTCGGAAAATGGCTCGACTGTCAATTTCCCAAAAGCTTTAACCCGATCGATGAACATCTTGAAGATGGTTTTCTTGGCTTTGCTGTCTAAGCCTTCGTACCTGAGGGCGATGTGTATTCGAGACTGGAATGCTTCATCGAACGTCTAACCGCCAAGTTAGTTCTCGCGGGTCCAACGAAACAACGGCTAGAAGAAAACATGCGAGCTCACCTCTACACGGTTTGTCGTAAGAAATAATATCCCCTGGAAATATTCCAACTGTCGTAGGAAAATGCTGACAAGGGCGTTGCGATGGATGTCCTGCATGTTTCGCTTCTCCAAGAACACGTCGGCCTCATCGAGCAGCAAAATCGCGCCCCATGCATGGCAAACGTCCAGAATCTTTTGCAAGTCGGCCTCTAGAAAACGACAATCTGTTCCGAGCTCGCCGGCCGAAGCCATGTATAGCGGGCATCGAAGCAGTTCGCTGATGCCTTCCGCCGTCAGCGTTTTACCTGTTCCAGGCGGCCCGTGAAGCACGGCTAGGCGTACTCGTGCGTTAGTAAAGTCAACATCTATGGCATAACTAGAAAAATTACGAAAGAAAGAAAAATACTCACTAACAAGCCCTTTGCCTTTGCCTTGTATGACGTCGTCGATTGTCTGCGTCGCGTTTTGTTTACGTGACTTGACAAGGGCCTGGATCAAATCCTTTGTCTCTGGTGGCAGTACCAGTGAGTCCCAAGCATCTTCGTTCCACTTAATGTCGTGCACTCTTGAGACGGCTAACTCCAACCATTGCTTCTCTGAGAAAGCGAAACCTAGAACTACCGGGGAAGCGAGGAGATAGTCTTCATCAGTAAATTCCAAGCATACATCGGGATCATCCTCCTCTGGTGTGTCCACGGTCCTTTCTTCCCCAGACGTATCAGTGCTTGATGTTCGTTCAACCATTTTGCCGCTAGTCGTTGCCGACAATTGCGGCTGAGGTGCCTTAGACCTTGCCTCCAAATCCGTCTGCAAAGCCTTCGTCACCGGTACATTGCAGTCCGAGTCTTTTGTCGTCTTACTAACTACCTTCGGTTCGTCATCTCCTTGCAAGTTGTCAGAAGAGAAGCATTCATAAAGATCATCATCGCCGTCTGATAACCCCAAATCGGAGAGAGCGTCAAAATCCCTTGGCCGCACATTCGACAGGCAGTAGTTTGGGTTGATGCGCCGGAATATGGCAGGGTCAATCATTATTCGGCTTTGCTGAATGTGAAATTTGACGACAGAACCCTTTTTGCGTTTATTGTATGCAATCCCAGAGTAAGCCTTGTAGTGAGCCCCATGAAGGGCCACAAACTTTTTGCCGCGCTCGACCAGCATTCGGCGTATCCCATCCTCATCCTTGTGATAAGATAGCGGATAGAATGGGAGGCTTGTTATTTTGCGAGTGCCCTGGAATTCTGCGATTTCCTCGGCCAATGTGCCATGCCCAAATCTTTTCCCGTCGAACTCGAGATATTTCCCGTCAACAAAGTAGAACTCGCCTCGCAGCAAGGATGAGTGCCGCACGGCTAGGTCGACTTTAAAGACTCTAGGGTCTTCCGCGAAACCGTAGGTTGAGGAGTATATAAGTGTACCTGGTTTCCACAACGCCCAGAGATAATCGAAGGTGATTATTCCACTGTCTAACATAGGATATAGACTCTCCTTGACTTTGGCGTAATCTTTATCCAAATATTTAACGAGCACCTTAAGCTCCTTGCGCTTTTTATCGATTCGCTGTTGGTTCTTCTTTCGTTCGCGCGCCCCTTGACCCGCTGGCTCAACCTGTTTGAGTTTCTTACGGTGAGAGCGAAAATCTTCTAAATACCTGGCCTCCGGGTTAGGCTGAACTGCATGACTTCAAACAAAGGCAGGGGCGTCCCGAATTTCGTGGTGAGAAAGGATTTAAATAAAGTACTTACAAGAAGAGTAAATTTGGGTCCAGTTTTGGCGTTTCATCAACAAGGCTCACACCTCGTACGTTGCCAATGACGTCCTGCAAGCATTCACGAAGCAGTTTGCTCTTGATATCAACGACCGTGTTTCGATACTTCCCTTCGCTATCGAATGTCCTCCTGACGTGGAATATGTATTTATCATACTTGGAGTTCGTGGCCACTTCAGCTGTATCTTGCAGCTTAAATGTATACAAGGTACTGTCCCATACCGAGTCTACCCGTTTATAGTCGACCTTCCTTTCCCTTCTGGAGTTTGATTTAGAGCGAGCCGTGTCGTTTGGCATGACTATTTGAGAATGGGTCCCTGGATTGCCGCGGTGAGGAGCATCTCGTTGGGGCAAACCCCTTCGGGCAGCGGCGAGAGATAAGAAATTATTAGGTTTTTGACTGCAGGACGTGTTGAAACCAACTACATTGTGATGAGTATGTGCATTGTCCAAGGGTTGTGTTGGTGAGATATATTGCGACGGGAGGTGGGATCCGAGTGGCTTGCTTGTCATCTGAACTGCATTTCCGCCGAGCTTTTCTACCTGAAACTGGAGTTGGGCATAACGAGACTCTAATTGGGCAATGGCCTCTCCCAATTCTCGCTGGGAGATGGGATCGTTCCAGCTCACCCAGTTCTGGGAGCTTGTGAACTCAGCTTCTCTCGCCGACACCATGTCATTTTCTGCTTCAAACTGCAGTGTATTGCCGCCCAAGGGCTTCATCCTGTCGCCTCTGCTGGCAGTCCGAGAACGGTGAGAGGCATGGCGAGAAACAGACCGCGACTTCCGAGATCGTCGATGTTTGTGCCGGCGATGACTAGATTCTTCATCCGATGATGACAGACTCATGGATTCGTCCGAATGTAGAGAATAGTCATCATCACTTTCACTTGAGGAATAATCGTCCGACTCTGACGACACCTCTTTCGGCCTGTTTTTGCGCCGGTGTTTTCGAAACTTCTCTTGTTTCCCCGACTGTATAGACTTTCCAGACGCAGGCGTTTTGGAAGATATCGCAGATTTGCCCGCCTTCACGGATCTGGCTGCGCGTCTCTTGGAGGTTTCCCGCAATTTTCTGGACGCCTGGTTATGTTCCATTGTAGTGGCTCCGTCATCATTTATGTTGGAGGAGGATTTGCCAGCATTGGGTTCTGTTCGTCGATTACCCGTGGGAAGAGTAGTCTGTGGGGACTCCATAACCAGTCTGTCGGGTTTGATGTGTTTGCTTGACTGAGTGTTCAGATGTTTGTGTTAAGGGCGAGAAGTGGTGTGAAGATAGCAACGGTCGTAGTCATATGCGAGCAATTGACTGGAGTCTAACAAGCCAGGAATGTTAGCAGCACAAGCAAATATTTGAGGAGTCAGAGCAGGGTTGGTGTAATACCATACCACGGGCACGAGAGGTATGCGGATGAAGGGGCTATCGGATATCTGCATAGGGTCGTTTGAGTAAGACAAGCTCACACGAGAAAAGAAGGTGATGACAAAACGAAGGAGCACACCCCGTAGCCGGCGCAGAACCGTTTGTTTGCAGTGCTTGGTGGTTGACGTGTCGAGGAGTTCTAAAGGCGAGGGTATTGGGTGGATGGGCTTACGAGACCAAAGAGCTAGGAAGATAAAATGTATTTGATAGAATGGAAAGACTGCGCTGGAAACACTCAAGATCAGGCTGTCGCCAAAACGAAGAGAGGACGTTGTTGCAGCTGGAAGAGGGCACAAGTTGCTCGTTGATGGCGTTTGCCAGCATTAAATGATGGATGGTCCTTTGGGAGAGCCTGCGGAAGGCAGGGACTCGGGAGCAGGCAACAGCAAGGTGAGGAGGAAGTCAACCAAATGCGGGCTGCAGTGCAACCTGCAGCCAACGAACAGTAGAAAAACAGCACAGTAATCCGTACGGAGTTGGCGACTCCTTGCCAGGCGCAATTGTTCACGCAGAGTGCAGCACTGCAGAAGATTTCGGGACCGGGAGACAGCGGGAACAGGGCGACAAAGTGAGCAGCAGAAGAGACGAGTCACATCCTTTATGTGTCTCAGCCATTCCGATATTCCAGGCCCATAGGCGGATTCGACAATAAGTGCCAGGGCGAGGGAATGCGGCTAAGGATAGATATCGAGTGGCCAAGCAGCCGTTTCATCCGACGCCAGAGCGAGCAGCCAAGGCGAAAAATGCCGTAGGCAACAACATGGTGCATACTCCGTACATCAGGACACAACAGGCACAACAGGCACAACAGGCACAACAGGCAGCCTTTGCATCGCTCGAGCAAGGAGCACGGAGGAAAACCTGCACGCTTGGAGTCTCCAGCCTGCAGTCATCCCGCAAAGTGAAGCGGCTGGGCTGCTTGGATCGCTCACGAGGTCACAGTCGCAGACCATCACGGCCCATGTTCAAGTGATGCGCTGGCGTTTGGCGTAATTGGCTGGCTGTCATTCGCCCATGCAAGGACAACATGCCGCATTGAGTCACATAATCTCTCCCACGATTTGTCCTGGAGCTGTTGGACTTTGCAGACCGGCAGGAGCCTCGCCGTATGCCATCCTGCAGCCTGGGCCGGGAGTGTCCTGTCGGCAAATGGGAAAATTGACGAGGTGAAGGAGGGAAAGCGTTGACGGTTTCTAACTTTCTCACGTCTGGGGTCAACCCACTCCCCAAGTTCCTTCAATACCACCCGTACTACTACAAATTTACAATGCATCAATGCCATCACGTGCCCTCGAAGCCCTAATCTACTACCTACTTGGACTTAGTATCAAATGTACTTTGGCAGCCTCCTAAGGGCGAGTCTTCTTCACTTGATTCTGTTACAGCAGCATGGGACCATGTAGACAAGTCAGTACGAAGCACGCGAAAACTCACCCTTTTCAATTTCCCACGTTGAGCATGATACTAACCGCCGTGGTCGAGTCTTTTCCGGGGTCCCCTGTGGTAAGCCAAACTCAGCGCCTAGGCTTTGCTTCTTATTTGCCAGCCATTCAACCTTTATCAACGTCCTTGCAGGCCAAGCCGACCACTGCCCACTTGATAGTTGAAGCAAATGCGTTGTTGGTTGTTGGTTGTTGGTTGTTGGCTGCGGATTTCTGTCAGCCAGATGGATATAGAAAGTAGTCACCTACGGAATAGGTATGTATAATGGCCTAGCGATTATCACTTCTTTTTTTGCGAGATTGAATCAACTATTTTATTTCGTCTGCACCACACATGTTTATCGCCGTAGGAGAAGTTGCACACGACGGATCGAAGCATGGAGGTATACACATAGTGCGAAGAACGATCAAGATCAAGCCCGTGTATCGGTGTGGGTTTCGCAAGACGAGCAAGTTCGCCAGTTACCCATCCAACACTTGCGCTCGAACCTTCTGCTGTCCTTTCATGCGGCAGTGAAAGATATTTGAAACGGTTACGGTATCTCGTCAGGCCCTTGCCATCACAAGACTCGTCGTTGCAGTCCTCGCAGACATGTCTGGAAGAAGTACCGGAGAATGGCGGAAATAGTGGTATTGCTTCTTCAGCACACAAGTCAGGGGTACGACGCGGTCGCCTCTAACGGTCCGCCGACTGACGTTGGCTGCCACGCTGCTCTCACCGTCTCAAATGTTGGAGAACACGAGCATCATCAGTCGCCAACCAACCAGGCCGATTCTCGCCACCAATTGGTTTCGACGCCGACTCTTTGGAAATGGCAGATGCTATCCCCTGCTGTTTGTTAGTGCTGCGAGCCTTACCGCTTCTTCACCGCATACTTTTGTAGGAGACTAGGATATTGGTGACCATGTTCAACGTGCCACGTCCCTCAGCTTCTCGCAGGCAGTGGAAACAGTTCGGTACATGCTGCATGGGGAAGGCCCAATGCCCGTACACTTTACGAAGGCCGCTATCAAGGGATGGCACCGCTTGAATACCTAGGTGCTGAGGGATGAGAGTACGCAAGCGGAACAAAAACACAGAATATTAACTACCAATTCCTGTCAGGAGTTGCAAACTTGTCGGATTGGAGACACGATGATTAGAAAAATAGCTTCGCTGTGTAATAACCACGGCCAGAATAGACTGCATGTGGAGGAAAATGTCTCCAAAGTTGCTAGGCTGGGGTCTCGGCCAAGAAAATGGTTATTTTGTGGGGTAGCATGTTCCTGGTTGGAGCACCAGACTCGACCTCCCAGCGCCACTTCTTCCTTGGGATGGAGCATGCATGCAGAGGTGAATTGCTTGGCGGGCTCCCTCTGTGTGCTAGCCTCCAGGTGCGCTCACCCCCTTGCTATTTATTGTACTTATGTTCTTTTATAGATTAAGTACTTAAATTATAGTAAAATAAATATATACTAATATAAAGCTTATTAGCCAGGTACCAGGCAAGGCGAGTGCACCTAGCAAAAAGAGTCGAGTGAGCCCGCCGAGTAATTCACATCCCGAGTACCGGTCAACTCCTCAGTACCTAATAGGGTTACGCGCCATGTATGCGTGCAACAATTTTGACCGGGCCCTCAAGGCCAACGCCATCATCCTCTCGGATCGGCCCTGTCGATTGAAACGGTCAAAACGGTAGAAATTGAAGCCCGATTTCAACAAAAACTTGAACCCTCAGATAGTTAGCTAGGTGAACTAGAAAGCTGTGCGCTTTTGTTCAACTTAATTGCATCCTTGGGGTGTCGGGACATGATCCCAGCCGCCAACTTGGCGTCTCTTGCGACAAATTGATGTCTTCTTCTACCAACCGTGCTCCGATTAAATTGTCACCCTCTGGCTTAACGCTTGCCAAGCCTCGCGCTCCTGGCGCAGACGTCATGTGGCTGCTTGTGGAGGCCGCCGGTAATATTGACTACCAGACATCGACCATGATAGAGCTACAGATGGTTCATGATTTGCACAGCTCTCTTGCGCTCCACCTAGGACCCTGCTCAATGCCAGTGCTCACCATCCACCCTTGTTCTTGAGTCTTGGACATCTGCCCTTGAGCTTCCTCACGTCCGCTCGTGCCAAAAGCCTTTGACATCGATTCTGGCATGAACGCATTGCTATTCGACGTCAGCGCTCGTGTCGGCTTTCACAACTGTACAGTCCATTTTTTTTCTAGAGATCGCCTATCAGTCAATTGGCATACTCCGCTGAATATCTAGATTCTAAGATATCTCGACTCTCCCCTGGGGACCGCATTGTCGTGCCTGTTTTGTTTCAACACCATGCCCAACACGACCAACAGATGGAGGTGGTCAGCCATTGACCGCGTTCTTGGCTCCAACGGCAATCAAGGGACACGGGCTCATGATCTGGCCCGTGAGGAAGAAAGAGCATGTGAGTTTGACTATTATTCGCCTATACTCCATGCGAGAATGTCATTGTCAACGACATGTAGCACACCAGACAAATCTTGCTAATATCTCTGACTTGCTCTACCTCGACAGTGCTCCCACATTTTAATCACCAGCAGATGACCTCGGCCGTGCCCGCATCCGAAGTTACCAAAATATGCCTTCGCCTGCGCCATCTGGTTCAAGAATGCGTGCCGTGTGAGATGGAGGAGAGCCGCGTCACAGCGCCCCATAGTCGCATCATTACAACCAAGGTTGTTCAGGCGGCCAAGGAGGCTGGCGGCCAGGAGTATAGAGGATGCGTGGTAAGTGTCGCTGCAGTTGTGCCTCACTCTGAGCCGCAGGCCTAATTATCTAGGTCTTTTGTTTGTTGATCAACCAGCGTTGGTTCCGACGTGAAGCTCTCATAGAGCTATGGGATTCGAGCTTGCACAAACTGCGAGCAGAGGCGTGTGCCGTCATTTCAAAAGCCTTGTAAGACCTTGTCCTGGGTATTCGAGCTTTCATCTCGAAATCCTTTAATATTGTTGTCAACTAACGCCCTGCGCTAGGATTGAGAACGAAGAAGATACCAATTATCTATTGTACTCCGTGTTACTTCATCGATACTCATATATAGCAAACGGCATCCCCACCCCGCCGGTGAATGTGATCGAGAAGGCTGTTGACTTGCATTCCGTCCGAGTCATTGGGTCGTCCGGATATCAGAAATGTATCCATTACTTGTGGCGTGGCTGGCTTGTGCAGGATGAAAATGACCCATCCGTCTTTGTTGATTACAAAGACAAGGATAATCCAAACTTTTTCGTCCATATGGATCCAGAACGCATGAGAGCTCCTCGAAACCAGAATGCCGCCCAGTTACTGTTCTCTGTCATCTATCTTCTACTCTACACCATCGCCGTCAACTCCATCAACGCTTCAGGAATTTTAGATGGGGCCGAGGTTGCCTTATATCTTTTTACCCTTGGATATATCTGCGACGAAATTATGAAATTCTACAAGGCAGGATACCATATTCTTGGCTTCTGGAATGCCTTCAATGGTGTTCTGTACTCGTTTTTAACCGTCTCTTTAGTTCTCCGAGTCATTGGCCTGGCTGCAGCCCGTGACTCGCAGTACCGCGAGCATTACAACAAGCTGAGCTACAATATGCTTTCCTTTGTTGCTCCTATGTTCTGGTGTCGGCTGATGTTGTACCTTGACAGCTTTCGTTTCTTTGGAGCCATGCTTGTTGTGCTCAAGGTCATGATGAAAGAGTCCGTTATTTTCTTCGCTCTTCTTATAATCATTATTATTGGGTTTCTTCAAGCCTTTATTGGATTGGACCTGACAGATGATAACGTTGCCAATGATGTCTTGTTTATCATTGAGTCGATGACGAAAGCCATCTTGCAAAGTCCCGAGTTTGAAGGATTCGAAGGCTTTGGTCCCCCGTGGGGCATCATTCTGTACTACTGCTTTACTTTTGTCGTCATGGTACGTTTTACTAATATCTCCATCATCAGAAAAAAAAAAGTCGAAAGACGTCATTGACACGTACTTCTAGATTATTCTCCTCAACATCCTTATTGCTCTGTATAACTCTGCCTACGAGGATATTTACGAGAATGCCGACGACGAGTATCTAGCTCTCTTCTCCCAAAAGACCATGCAGTTCGTCAGGGCTCCGGATGAGAACGTGTACATTGCACCGTTTAACCTCATTGAGATCGTTATCTCAGCCCTTTTCGAGTGGTGGATGCCAAAGCACATGTACGAGGTGATAAACGACTACGTGATGGCTGTCATATATTCGCCTCTGCTATTTGTGTCGGCATTTTTCGAGACGCGTGCTGCTCATCGCATTCGACATAACAGGTCGAGGGGAGACGAAGATGACGATGTGGTGGAGGAGTGGGAGCAATTGGAACATGAGCTTGATATGGAGGCTGAGGGTTGGACCAAAACGTGCGATTCTGTGAAGCCGAATATGGAGGATGATCCTGCAGTTTTGGAAGTCCGAAAACTACGTACCGAGCTCGAAGAGTTGAAAACGATGTTGAAAGAAAGGACTCAGGATGTCGGGGGTAATAAGACCGACGACAGCGACAAGTTGGGTGGGGGGAACCCTTCCAGGACAAATGATGACCAGTAGTATGGGCAAAATGAAGTTTGGATACGGAGTACTCAATTGTGCATTCGCGGCAGTGGAAGGGTGAATTGCTCGGCGGGCTTACTCTTTTTGCTAGGTGCGCTCACGCTCTACCAAGTACTTGGGTATTTGTTTTATATTATATTATATATTAGTATGTCACACAAGGTTTGCCTCTATGATGACGGTGGCTGAGGCTATCGCGAGATGGCCTTGGCTAGCGGCCGCGGCGCGGCACCAATTGCGCTGGTACGTCTGACGCGTCACGATGCGTAGACGGTCTACTTTTCTAGTCTCCTACTGTCCTTGGCCTGGTACAGCCCAATACTGTTTTGGATTTTACGCTTGCACGATACCTGTATCATGCGTGTAATTTCATTTGACTACAGAGCGAATCAACCACAAATTAATATATTAGTATGTACTTATTATACGCAAATACGTAATATATTTTACGACAAATTACTAAAGTATATAAAGGCAGAGTTTAAATATACAGTAAATACCTACCTAGGTAGTATGGGATAAGCGCACCTAGCAGAAAGAGTAAGCCCGCCGAGCAATTCTCGTGGAGGGTACCTTGCGAGCTCCTGGAATTCTGTGGATTGTGTTTCCAAAGGCTTGTTGAAGCGGACTAATCACACTGCACTGATGGCTATTGGAATATAAGTGATTCTTGGCATTGTGGCATCTAGTCAATTGATGCTAACTTTATCCTTAGCATCCGTGCCCGAGCTGTTTGATCTGTACACAATCAATGCTCACTCTTCTGAGGGGAAGTACTTGCTGCATCATCATCATATTAGCGAAGATGTTTCCCAAAAACTAACACTTGTATCAAACTTACGGAAGTGCATCCTTGTATGCAATCACATCCTTCTGCTCAAAAGTAACAAACACTACTCTGTCCAGAGCACCGCCGTCATCGTCTAGAAACTTTCTCACGGTTTCGCAAGCGACCCGTGCGGCATCTGTGGAAGGATAACCATAAACACCGGTGCTAATCGCGCTAAAAGCCAGAGTTTTGATGCCTGAAGATACCGCCAGACCCAAGCTTGTCTGATAGCAGCTCCTTAGCAAGTTTTCACTTGTCTGTGGATGATGGCGATCGTATATTGGCCCAACAGTATGTATGACATGCTTCGCAGGCAGCTCGTACCCCTTGGTCAGGCGGGCATCTCCTGTAGAGCAACCCCCGATTCCACGGCATTCGTACAGGAGTTCGGGACCAGCAGCACGGTGGATGGCCCCGTCAACGCCGCCTCCACCAAGCAGCGTCGTGTTGGCTGCATTCACAATTGCATCCAGTTGGAGCTTCGTAATATCGCCGCGGATGAGGCCGACGCGAGAGTTAATGGATGTTGAAGGTTGGAAGAGAGAAGGAGAGGGTGGCGGCGATGTAGCTTTTTGGAGAGCTAATTCTCGATAAAGTTGAGCCACTGTAGGTATGTCCATGACAGCTTTGATAGAGGCTCGGGCCATTGTGACGACTAAGATGAACCACAAATCCTGTCGTTTTCTTTCGCAGAGTAAGCTTGAATAAGGACTAGAGAATGCTGGCTTGAAGCTGGATCTCAAGGGCGGTATTCTTTGCCTCTATGAATAAGGCATTAACTCTTGTCCTTTGGGTCAGGCTAGGGACAGAACCAGCCAGGGTCAAGACGAAGGTGATTGAATGTAGTGTTGCAGGTACGAAGATCAGACTACATGGAAACGCTTTCTAATTTTGAATGGAAAGCGTGTGTAGCACGCGAAAGTAAGGCAAAAAGGCCGTCAATTCGATTATTAGCCGCTTGTACAGTGTTCAAATATTGATGGACTGCATGTTGAACACAGTAGGTAGTCGGGTGGGTTGTTGAGGGCTCGGCTTACTGTGCTAGCAATGTGGGCCCCGACCCTGGCTGGCATGGACGCAGTTTCGCTTATCGTGCTTATCGCTCCCGTTTTGTGATCCGAGCCCCTCGCCAACCACTCAGACGTTTTTCACACCCCGCCATCCTGCTCCCAAGTCAGATACCAGTCACCGCTGGCGGCAGAACAGCAATCCCATCCCTACACGGTCAACTCTTACCGCGGATCCCGAAGTTCAAAGCAACCATCGAAGCAGTTTTCATCTTGAATTGACCTACCTTTGCCGTAGGACTTGCGACAATGGCCGACGACGCCACAAAGAACATGGCCAAGCTTCAGCTTGACGATGTCACCGGTGAGATGGTGTCGAAATCTGAGCTGAAGAAGCGCCAGCAGAAGCGAGCTAGAAAGGCTGCGCAGGAGAAAGTCCGCCAGGAAAAAGCAGCTGCCGGTCCAACTCAAAAAACAGCAAGCCCAGCTCCAAAGCTAGAAGAGATCCCTGCCGATCCCGAAGCCATGTTCAAACTGGGCTTCCTCCATGACGTGTATAGCGAACGACCCGAAAAAAAAGTTGTCACTCGTTTTCCACCAGAGCCCAATGGATATTTGCATATCGGTCATGCCAAGGCCATCGCTGTCAACTTTGGCTTTGCCAAGTACCACGGTGGTGTTTGCTACCTGCGATACGATGATACCAATCCAGAGAAGGAAAAAGAGGAGTACTATACCGCAATCCAGGAAATTATAAAATGGCTAGGATTTGAACCGTACACGATTACATACTCTAGCGACAACTTCGACAAGCTTTATCAGCTTGCAGAGAAGCTGATCAGTCTGGACAAGGCCTATGTTTGTTCATGTAATGGTATGCAGCGGCTGTCGGCAATTGCTTTATTCAGACTCTGTAGGAAGCTAAATCTCACTCAATCATAGATGTCGAAATCAAACTTCAGCGAGGAGGCGAGAAAGGGGCAACTCCCAGATACCGCTGCCAACATGCCGAGCAAACCCCTGAGGAAAACTTAACCAAATTTCGAGACATGCGTGACGGCAAGTACAAGCCCAAAGAAGTGTTCCTCCGCATGAAGCAGGACATCACCGATGGCAACCCCCAAATGTGGGATTTGGCTGCGTACCGGATCAAAACCGACGAGCCCCATCACCGTACTGGCTGGGATTGGAAGATCTACCCAACTTATGACTTCACGCACTGCTTGTGTGACAGCTTCGAGGGAATTACACACTCACTATGTACCACCGAGTTCATCCTTAGCCGTGTGTCGTACGAGTGGCTCAACAAGTCGCTCGAGGTTTACGAGCCTATGCAGAGGGAATATGGACGCCTCAATTTGACTGGTACTGTGCTGTCAAAGCGAAAGATCTCGAAGCTCGTGGACGAAAAGATTGTGAGAGCTTGGGATGATCCAAGACTCTACACTCTTATTGGTATTCGTCGACGTGGTGTCCCACCTGGTGCCGTTCTCAATTTCGTTAATGAACTTGGCGTCACTACAAACATCACAACCATAGCTACGAACAGATTCGAGCAGGTTATTCGAAAATATCTGGAAAAGACTGTTCCTAGGCTAATGATGGTTCTCGACCCGGTGCCTTTGGTCATTGAAGATGCTGAGGCCGTGGACATAGAGCTGCCTCTTTCGGATCGAGCGGACATGGGATCCCGCATAATTCACTTCACACCAACCGTTTACATTGATCGATCAGATTTCAGAGAAGTGGATAGCGAGAATTATTTCCGTTTGGCTCCTGGAAAGACTGTTGGCTTGCTGAACGCGCCGTACCCTGTCAAGGCTGTGTCTTTTACCAAGGATGAAACCACAGGAAAGGTGACGGAAATCCGCGGTGTCTTTAACAAGGAGGCCGTAAAGGCCAAGGCATATATCCAATGGGTTGGCACCGAAGGTTCACGAAACGTAGAAGCCCGAGTTTACAATGCTCTCTTTAAGTCAGAAAAGCCAGACGATGCGGAAGGAGGGTTTTTGAACGATCTTAACCCAGACAGCGAAGTTATCTACCCCAATGCCGTGATCGAGTCAGGATTGGATGAAGTCAAGCGCCGAGCACCGTGGCCCGAGGCTGCCGGTGAGAGCGAGCTTGGTAAAGGGGGCCCCGAGAGTGTGCGCTTCCAGGCCATGCGTGTTGGGTACTTTGTAAGTTCCAGCTGTTCATTCATGCCTTGGAGACAGACAAGCGTTACCATGGCTACTAACCATAACATTTTACATAGGCAATGGATTCCGACAGCACTGAAGACAAAATTGTATTGAACCGGATTGTGAGCTTGAAGGAAGACGCTGGCAAGAAAGAATAATAGAACAGGCATTTTTGATAGGCGTTTCGCGAGACGGAGAGGGTGGTTACTCCGAATCGAGATGGTCATGGGCTGGCAAACTAGACGGGTAGGGCACTTGGTTGCTAGTGTGGCATTGAAAATCCGATGTGACGAGATTCTTTGTTCGCAATAGACTCCGTTTCGTGATGAAAGAAATACACGAACGAAAATCAATACTATTGTGAGGACACTAGGGCCCAATCCTCTTGCCCAAGTTGACAGAATGCTCTGGTATTCTTTTATCATCACACTCCACATGGCGGGCTCCCCCCAGAATAAGATAAGATTAAAGGCGGGCTAGATTAGTAACAGCCCAAATACTTGCAGATACTAGTAGTATCATGATTCGGCAGACAGTCGGACCACTGAGATAAACTTGCTGCGGCCATGTGGCTGGAAGACTAAAGCGGAGTGGAACGGGATAAGTACCTAGGTACTAGTCAAATGGTATCTCGTCCATACATACATGCCTCTGCCGGCATGCTACGCATCCAACGAAATGCAACGGCGACAGCCACTGACGAAAAGCAGTCTAGTGGCCCGGCAGAAAGCTCTGACAGGTTTCAACGACGACTCAGGGGCCGGGTTTGCCGAGCAACTAGTACTCAGTACTAGTACTACGTACCCCGTACCAGCGGCAGTAGTAGTACTAATACTATGGAGTTTTGCATGGGCATTTGGAACCTTCCCAAGCAGGGTGGGAGCCACATCCAACACGATCCGTCAAGGTGTTCGATGCTCTGCGTGAGTTTTGCTCACGGCCAACTGCGCACTTGTCGGCATCTCCAAGATCGAGGCCGCGCCCCAATTGATGCAAGATCTGTCCGTGCCAGCCACAGGTATCCTCCACCACAAGCTATTTTTGGCATTGGGCGGCAACACTCATTCGAAAACCAGAGGTGTACGAAGTAACAACTGCAAAGTTGAGGTAGGTCCCTAGGTAGGTGTATGGAGCCTGTTCGAAATATGAGAACCGACAATGGACACTGGACGAAGATGGGCCTGACAAACTACAGAGTATTGCCAGCCGATTCCAAGGACTGACATCGAACGTCTGACGCGAGACATGCACGGGCAGAGCTGAGGCTACCGTCAGCCTCATTGAGCGTCTTTGAGACAGACAGGCCAGACACGCCTCAGACTTGACAAGAAGTCGTACATACATACCTAGATACTCAAGAGTGTGCGGGTGTGTCTTGGCACTTACATAAGACAGAAGCGGCAACGGTGGATCAGATCGACCTGACGGCACTCCCTCATCTCACTGCAGCGTAGTATTTCGACAAGAGCATTTTGCATCGGGGTGATGATGATAGATACCGCGAAGAACAACGGGGCAGGCGAATTGACTGGCCTCGCCAAGTTGCTTCTGCTGACCACCTATGGCTACTAGTGCCACGGCCACTGGTCGGTGGTCGGCTCGCTCGCCCTTGATGGATTTTGCCTTTCGCCGCGGCGCCTTGGGCCCTCGCCGCCTCACCGTCTCATCTGTCGTAGCAGAACCTAGGCACTCTGTTCTCGAGTTTGCCTGCACTGGTGCACCTACTAAACAAGCACCAAGTAGTGACCATGTGTATGCCGAAAACCATAACCTCAGCCGCCTGTCGAGCCGGTCAACTTAAACTCTGCCACACAGCGCACAGCGCATCAATCTCGGGCAGCCAACCACGACGCCACCCAGGCTTGTCCTTGGATCTGAAATCATCTGAAGCTGGCTGGCCGTGCTCCATGAAACACGGCCACGGCGACGACTCACCGCCCTTGCCTTCTTGCCACATCCGGCTTAGTCCAATCCGATAAAGCCCGATAAGCCCTGCTCGCTGCCAAATGGAGGGGCAGGATGCGTGCGAATTTTTTTTTTCTCTCGGTCGGCCAGGAGCCCAGCATCCCCCATCCGAGTTTTAGCGCACCCAGGCAGAAGGGCTAAGAAAAAAATACTTTGTGGAGGCCAGGACACATAAATCTTGTCCACCCACGTTTACGCCACCCCAGAGTTTCTTCTCCTCCTCCACCCCTATAAATCCTCTTCACGTCCCTTTTCCTCCTTGTCATCTTTTTTTGGTCGTCATCCCTCCAGACGAACCGCGGACTTGTCCTCCAAACTCGTCCTTGTTCTTCGTTCGAGTTGTTCCTTGGATCCTCCTCCTGTGAACAACCCCACTACCGTCGCCGATAGACACAAAAACAGGGCCGCGATAGAGCAGAGTCGACTCCTCCATCGTCTCTGTGGGCTTCTCCGATAGAAAAAAAAAAAGCAATACTGTCTGGATACATTTCGATAGACCTCGAGTCGATTTCAGAGCTCTGTCACTTTTCCTACGCCGCATTTAGACTCGAATTTTTTTTTTTTTTTTTTGCATCTTAATACCCCCCGATTACCGACACCATGCCTTCCGAAAACGCCCAGTCCGTCAAGGTCCTTGACGAGCTCTTCCAGAAGCTCACCGTCTCCAAGGAGGCTGCTGACATCAAGGAGTCTGCCAACCAGCTGGCCAGCTTCATCAACGGTCGTATTGAGGACCAGGATGTTCCCAACAAGTAAGTGTTTTGTCCTTGTCCTGCCGTGGATGTCGCTGCTTCGTAAAACATCCCGCGAGTCGCACCGGCGCGGGCGCAGAAATTTTTTTGTGCCGCCACAGTGGAAGAGAAACCCCGCTAGTACGGGTGCTTTCCCCCACCATGGCACCCAATAGCACCGGAGTCCACCGCTCTACTGGGCCCCGGGCAGTGAGCTAAGCTGCTGTCCGAATTCCAGCGCATTCAGACGCCTGGAATCCAGGTGTCCACGTCTTGGTTTTAGTGCAATCGGCCGCTAACAAATGCTCGCCACTAGGACCATCGACAACTTGAAGAAGAGCCTTACCAACAAGAAGGATGCCGTGGCTCGTGAGCAGGCTTGCGTTGCCATCCAGGCCATCGCTTCCCACTCTGAGGTTTCTGCTAACGTCGAGCCTTACCTGGTGGTCCTCCTCCCCAGTGTCTTGGCTGCCGTTGGTGACAAAATCACTGCTGTTAAGAACGCTGCCACTGCTGCCGTCCTTGCCATTGCTGGCGCCATCAACGGCAATGCCTGCAAGGCTGCCCTCCCTGCCATCATGGAGTCCATCCGCACTGCTCAGAAGTGGCCTGAGAAGATGGCTGCTCTGGACTTCATCGACGCCCTGATCAAGACTGCTCCCGCTCAGCTTGCTTTCCGTGTCCCTGACTTGATCCCCGTCGTCTCCGAGGCCATGTGGGACACCAAGAAGGAGGTCAAGGAGCGTGCCTACAAGACCATGGAGCAGATCTGCCAGCTCATTGTCAACAGAGATATCGAGCGCTTCATTCCCGAGCTCATCAAGTGTATTGCCAAGCCCGAGAACGTCCCCGAGACTGTTCACTTGCTCGGTGCCACCACTTTCGTCACTGAGGTCCAGGAGCCCACTCTTGCTCTCATGGTCCCTCTTCTGGATCGTGGTCTTGCTGAGCGCGAGACTGCCATCAAGCGAAAGTCTGCCGTCATTGTCGACAACATGTGCAAGCTCGTCGACGACCCCAACATTGTTGCTCCTTTCTTGCCCAAGATGATGCCCGGTCTCCAGAAGAACTACGACAACTTGGCTGACCCCGAGGCCCGTGAGAAGACCAAGCAGGCCCTGGACACCATTACCCGTGTCGGTAATATCGTTGACGGCAAGATCCCCGAGGTCCGCAACGATGGTGACATCAGCGTCGTCCTCGGCAAGCTCAAGGAAATTCTCTCCTCCAAATATGCCACGTACCTCGAGAAGATGGGCCCCGTTGCCGAGTACATTGCTGCTATGGCTGGTCAGCTCATTGACGAGAAGGAGAGTGAGAATGCTGTCTGGGTTGAGAACCTCAAGGCTTATGTCTCTGTCATCACCGGTATTGACAACGCCGAGGCTATCGTCGACTCTCTCCGCAAGCGTGCCTCCCCCGGTGCTGCTGAGGAGGAGGCCGTTGAGGCCGATGAGGAGGAGGGTGAGGACCTTTGCAACTGCACCTTCTCCCTGGCCTACGGTGCCAAGATTCTTCTCAACCAGACTCACCTTCGTCTTAAGCGTGGTCAGCGCTATGGTCTTTGTGGTCCCAACGGTTCCGGAAAGTCTACTCTTATGCGCGCCATCAACAACGAGCAGGTTGAGGGCTTCCCCAAGCAGAGCGAAGTCAAGACCGTCTTCGTGGAGCACGACCTGGACTCTGCCGATACTGAGATGACTACCATTGACTGGACCATGAAGAAGCTTGGCGAGGCCAAGGTCGATGTCACTCAACCCGATGTCGAGAAGCAGCTTGTTGAATTCGGCTTTACCCCTACCATGATTTCTGGCGAAATCACCGCTCTCTCCGGTGGTTGGAAGATGAAGCTCGCCCTGTGCCGTGCCGTCTTCGAAGCTCCCGATATTCTGCTGCTCGATGAGCCTACCAACCACTTGGATGTCAAGAATGTCAAGTGGCTCGAGGACTACCTCACCAGCTCCCCTTGCACCTCTATCATTGTCTCTCACGACTCCAGCTTCCTCGACAACGTCTGCCAGCACATCGTCCATTACGAGCGCTTCAAGCTTAAGCGCTACCGTGGTAACCTGGCCGAGTTCGTCAAGAGAGTGCCCTCTGCCAAGTCTTACTACGAGTTGGGTGCCTCTGAGATGGAGTTCACCTTCCCTGAGCCCGGTTTCCTCGAGGGTGTCAAGACCAAGGCCAAGGCCATTCTGCGTGCCTCAAAGATGTCCTTCCAGTACCCTGGTACCTCCAAGCCCCAGATCAGCGACATCACTTTCCAGTGCTCTCTGGGCTCCCGTATTGCTGTCATCGGTCCCAATGGTGCTGGCAAGTCTACTCTCATCAACGTCCTGACTGGTGAGCTGATCCCCACCCAGGGTGAGATCTACCAGCACGAGAACATTCGTATTGCCTACATCAAGCAGCACGCTTTCGCCCACATTGATAACCATCTGGACAGCACTCCCTCTGAGTACATTCAGTGGCGTTTCCAGACTGGTGAGGATCGTGAGACTATGGACCGTGCCAACAAGATTATTACCGAGGACGACGAGAAGGCCATGGACAAGGTCTTCAGAATTGAGGGTACCCAGCGCCGCATTATTGGCATCAACTCCCGAAGAAAGTTCAAGAACAGCTACGAGTATGAGTGTTCATGCGCCCTTGGTGAGAACGTGGGCATGAAGAACGAGCGCTGGACCCCCATGATGTCTGCCGACAACGTCTGGTTGCCCCGTAACGAGCTTTTGGCTTCTCACCAGAAGATGGTGGCTGACGTCGATATGAAGGAGGCTCTTGCCTCTGGTCAGTTCCGCCCCCTGGTCCGAAAGGAGATCGAGGCTCACTGCGCCAACTTTGGTCTCGATGCCGAACTTGTTTCACACTCCCGCATGCGCGGTCTGTCAGGTGGTCAGCGTGTCAAGACCGTCCTTGCGGCCTGCTCATGGCAGCGACCTCACTTGATCGTCCTTGACGAGCCTACCAACTATCTTGATCGTGACTCTCTCGGTGCCTTGTCCAAGGCCCTGAAGAAGTTCGAGGGTGGTGTCATCATCATCACTCACTCTGCTGAGTTCACTAAGGATTTGACTGAGGAAGTCTGGGCTGTCATGGACGGCAAGATGACTCCTTCCGGCCATAACTGGGTTGCCGGCCAGGGCAGTGGTCCCCGTCTCAAGCAGGATGACGATGAAGAGGAGGACAAGTTCGACGCCATGGGCAACAAGATTGTCAGCACCAAGAAGAAGGCCAAGTTGACCTCTTCTGAGCTACGAAAGAAGAAGAAGGGTAAGTTGTCTACATATTCCCCCGTACCTAGCACAAGGGTTTTCTATCAGGGGCAGTTGATGCTAACCAGTAATTACAGAGCGTATGGCCCGCCGCAAGCGTGGCGAGGAGGTTTTCAGCGACGAGGACGATATTTAAGCGCGTTCATACCCCAAAGTTGCTGTAATAATCTGACAGCGTTCCGCCGCCTTCTTTCACGACATTTTCTCCGTGTTTATCTAATTTTCCTTTGTACGGTAATGAGAGGGATGGCAAAAGTTTTCAAAAGTTGCGATGCGTCCTGGGATATGATTGGCATACTCGGGCCGCCAATAGAGGTGGCCTCCTACTTAGATGAAGACAGAGTGTGTGCCTACACCGATTTCTCGAAGCAGCGATGGAGGGACTGGAGGACCCCGACACACGTTGGTAGTAGATGAAAATCATGGCGCTCAGGATTGATGGTAAATGGTAGATAGACCCGAATAGAATTGTCAGTAACCATCAAAACAGTGACGGCGTGTCGTGACGGCGGTGCCTAATATGATGAGAATATCGCCTTGCGTGGGCGACGAATCGATGAGATTGGTAGGAAGATCAGTCTTCTCTCGGGGGTCGTCATAGCACACGGCGGTGCGAGTTTAGGGTATGTCTACCTTGTACCACAACTGCTTGCTTTGGTGATCTCGATGTCCTCGTTCATTTACCCTTTGTCTAATTTACTTGTCTAAGTTTTACTCTTTTCAGTAATATCCCTAGTGTTCTATTGTGGTTCTGCCACTTCCGTCGCAAAGCTGCCCGCTCCAACACATCCATTACACATCTGCCAGCGGGGGTCATCACATAGGCTCAAGACGAGGTCCTACTCCAACGACTTTTTGCAAACTGGTGCATTGCTCCGCGGGCCTTGATCAGCTAGCCGTGCAAAGGCAAGGTCATCCTACCAATCCATTCCAGCTAGTCAATGGACTATTGTCTCGGCAGTTGCTGTCGCCGTCCCCCCCCCCCCAAAAGCCAAGTCGCGCCTCCCAGCGACCTAACAACCCACGACATCTACACGGCAAACGCTCCTCAGATGCCTCCCGTATCTCGTAGACAAACACCCTGTCTTTCTATAACCTCGCCCACTCCTGTAAGCTAATCACGACCCCCTGCCCGACAGCCCGGAGGGACAAAACCACCAACCAGTGATATTGTATTTCCCATCCAGCTACCCATATCCTCTCTCAGGACTATCAAAGCCCTCGCATCTAATCCCCCCTCCCCGAGCAGCCAATGGCACCGGTCTGATATCAGAGAAGGTGCTCACAGCCCGTATGTATACTGTGTACATGTCCCACGCACGAGTTGCAACGCCCTCTCCATTTACGAACTAGTTTCGTAGCTGCCCGGCACGATGTCGACCTGCATATTATCGTGTCGTGTAAGAGCCACGGGCCTCCAAGACACGAGGGTTTCCCATAATTCTCCGCTCCGCATAAGGATTGACACATCCTTCTCATATGTGCACGTTGTATCTTGCGTCTTGGCGGTAACGCCAGCATTGTCCCTTCATCCGGACATCGCTCGGCGATCGGCGTCGTGTGAGCTGCCTACACACCAAACCCGTGTTTAGTGCATCTTGGGTAAGGAGCCGTAACATAAAGAACAAAACTATGACACATGGGTATCGCGCTCGTGAGGGGTAGCTGCGTTCTAATGGCATCCCTCTTATCGTCCATCTTCGTTTGGACGCGGTTTCGTCTCGAGAAATCCAAGTGGAGGGCCTGCATACGTCCTCGGACCGTTCGCTGAGCTTGGAATCGGCGGAGTTTCGCAGACTCTGGGGTCTTTTATCATTGCTATGGAGCACTTGCCAACAGGGGGAGGCGGGGAGGGGATGGTATACAAACGCACACCTGATGCAGTTTGAATCCGGGGAAGACAAGGGCGAAACGCGGAGGATAACCCTTGTCCAGAAGAGGACCTGAGTATTATATGATGTATGTCAGTCATGACTCTAGGGGACGACCTGTGCTGATGAGTTAATGGATAGCAGAATCAGTATAGAATTTGAGAAGGAAATTATCACTCTAATGACAAATATTTCAAGACACAAGACACAAGCACTGTAGTCATAAATTATTCAATTCGTCAACTTCTCGGGGTATATAATATGTACTTCCCAAGCCCACATAAACAATAGCGCCTGGAAAGTAGTCAGTTCTATCAGCCGTAATCTAAACTTGCGAGACGGTGCCTCCGTGGCAAACATCACAACATCTCATACAAGCCATAGTAATATCGACATTTTCAAATGGCGAATTCTATGTGCAACAAAAGTCTTCAAATCATGTCATCAAATGAAGCTCAAAGCACGCAACCAACGACCAGAGAACAAGACTTATTCATCCCTTTGGTGTGCTTTGTTCTTTCTATTGATGCCAACTAGGCGACCCATTTCAGCCCAGAAACCAACAGGCTCGTGCAGAAAACTGGCCTCGTAGCGGTCAATAGTCGGCCGCTCCCACACCAAGTCAGCCTCATGCGGCTTGACGAAGCTGGTGCGCTTGTAGAACTTCCAACCAAAGAAGAGAATGGGCGCCAGAATTTGCATGGTGTAGTTTCTGAAGAAGGTCTCAACATTCCAAGGGGTGAAGGCCGTGTATCCGTAGAAGATGACCACCAAAGTTTGAACGAATAGAGCAATATAGGCACAGTATGGCTGGAACCTCCCGTAGTATGGCATTGTCTTGCGATCAATTCCCTGAGCCTTGCAAGCGCGGTAGTAGAAAATGAAAGTCACCGACATGCTCAAGTAATCGATGATACCACCGGCAGTGATGAGATCGACGAGCCATCCGACGACCTTTCTTGAACCGTTGCCGACCTGAAGGAAGGAGAGAAAAGGGAAGCACATGACCACGCAGAAGCAGTAGATTGGGACACCGTTGCTCCAGCACTTTCGCAGGAAGGTCGGCGCACGACCTTCTAGAGCCAGGCCGTAAAGAGATCGAGTCGCGCAATAAGTGTAAGTGTTGCCGGCTGAGAAGATAGACGTGAACATGAGGGCGTTCACAATGTGAGGCAGAACGTCAATTCCCATATTCTTCATAGCAATAACATATGGCGAGGCAGCGGCACTGGTGCCATCTGCCTCACCTTTCATGACTGCTTGGAGCGTTGGATCATTCCAGGGCACCACAATGCCAACACATAAGGCACTTCCGAGGAAGAAGAGACCAAAACGCCAGTATATCGTCTTAAACGCAGTTTTGATGTAGATTCTCGGGCGCTTGGCCTCGGCGGCAACCATGGAGACGTATTCTGGACCAACAACAGCAAAACCGGCGCTCCAAAGGGCACCGAGAAAGCCCTCGAAGCGGCCCACGGCGCCTTTGGTGTGATACTCGGCGAAGGCGCCAGGGTCATTCCAATATCGGAAGCCATAGCGGTCGTGTGACGGGTTACCGCCAAGCATCGTCACGAATGTAAACATGAAGAGCATAAAGAGGAGAATAACCTTGCCTCCTGAAAGCCAAAACTCTGCCTCGCCGTAGGCCCGAACGGCAAGAATATTCAGTACACTAGAATCCACAAGAACAAATGTTTAGCATACGACCTCTCAGAAATTGGGGAAGGACCGGGGGATAGGCGAGAAAAGGATTATACAGCGAGGTGTGCGCATGCCGTTATGGCAGGGATGCAACGACGCCATTTCTTTTATTTTCTCCACGCCCGGTTGGAGCATAATTCTTACGCATAGCAAAGAATAACGGCAATGCAGATGCCAGCAGTAGGTCCCGGTTTCGTGACTTCTTCGTTCCAGAAGGACAAGACGAGGTTCAAGGCGGTAATTTCAAAGGGAATCAAGAGAGCTTCGTAGATGAAGAAGTTCCAACCCGTCATGAATCCAAGGGCGTCATCTACCCAGTGGCCGGCCAGACGGATAAACCCACCAGAAACGGGCATGAGAACAGTCATTTCAGCCACTGAATTGTTAACGCAAGCGAGGACCAGAGGATAGAGAATGAAGGCAATGAGCAAGCTGCCAGGACCGCCTTTTGCCAGACCTGAACCGATACTGACGAAGAGCGCAGTACCAATGGAACCGCCAATGGCCACGAGCTGGATTTGGCGGTTATTGAGACTCCGGTGCAGACCATCGGCATTATCGCCAGCGTAATCGCCGGCGAGTTCGCCCACCTCTGGAGATCCGGGGACCTCAATTTTGGAGCCCTTTTCCTCGTCGCTAGTCGCCATGGTGGGCGAGTTTAAATCGAAATTGCCGGTTCGGGTGTCTTCTCAGCGAGAATTTTTCTCGGTATAGAATCGCAAATGAAACGCGTAGCTCATACGGGGACGGACCGAAAGAGCGCACCTTTAGCCGGAAAGGGATCTTTGCAGTGGCGGAAGGATGTCAGACGTAGGAAGTGTAAGTCGATGATGTTGGAACACTCACACGGCATCAAGAGATATGCGTGGTGTGTGGTGTGGTAAGGATGAGGACGGAAGGAGGAAAGGAAAAGGAAAAGGAGGGGGGGGGGGGGGGGTGGTGAGATGAAGGAAGTGGTAAGGATGGAAGGAAGAAGGATTCGAGGAAAGAGTGAATAAGACAAAAAAAACAGAGAGCTGAGGATGGAGGGGGGAGGCCAGGATGTATATAACATGGGCAGTGAGACTAACGTCGAGTAAGTCACAACAAGACCAGACACAAGTCAACAATGACAGACCTCTGCTGCCGTACCGAACTGCAAGGACCATTCGACAATGTCAAGGAGTGTGAGCGTCGAAGAGGGACTGGGACGGTGGACGACCATGTGGATCTGCAAGTGCTGCAGTTCGTGGAATCTTTGGAGTTTTATTCGTAGGTTTGGCATGGTCCCAAAGCGGAACCTAGACAAAAGCGTAGTTTGTGCTCGCGGAAGAGGGACGAGGCAGCGAACACAATGCAAGTAATAATTGAGACTTGAGACTTGAGACTTGAGGCTTTGGACTAATAATGGGACTTTACCACAGACCAAGGTACCTGGAGACGCTAATAAGAGGGCAGTGGAACGGAGTATTACTACTCATTGTCGCGGGCATGCACTCGACGACGGGGCCGGACTAGGCTTGGCGTTTTTGGGCCTGTCTGTTTCTGCCGCACTGTCTACTTGGTACTTAGACCGCCACCTGCG